TATTATTACAGTAGCAAAGTTTTATTTTATTGCTGAAGTGAATTTTTGCAGTTATGTACATTAAAAATAATCATTCATGTAGATGTCTCAATATTGTTGTTAGTAGTAGTATGCATTTATTTCTTGCCTTTCTTGCAATAATTTGATTTAAGGTAGGTAACAGCCTATATAAAACTATGCAGATTAAAACTATGCAAAACCTCAGTAGAGTATAAAATACAATTATATTTTATAGTAAATTATAAAGTTGAACACATGAGGGGTTTTCAAAGACTTTGAGCAGCCACCAAGAAGGACTTCTCCCTTGTTCCCATCAAAAAAGATAGGAGCCCTCGATGGTGCAATGGGAACAAGGGAGAAGGCCTTCTTGGTAGCTGACCGGTCGGTCTTCAGTCCTGCTGGCACAAGGTCAGAGGTTTGTATCTGGGGCGAGTGCAGATGAGCTGCCTCTGTCAGCTCCAGCTCGCCATATGAGAAGCCTCCAACAAGGATGGTAAAACATCAGAAACATCCAGGCATACCTTTATGCTTTACACATACCAACTAATAATAAGGTGATAATGTGTTAGTTCAGTTTTTGAGGTTGGGAACCCCTGGTGGTGCAATGGGTTAAACCCTTCTGTTGGCTGGACTGCTGATGAAAAAATCGGTGGAATGAGGTGAACTCTCATCTGTAAGCTCCAGCTTCTCATATGGGGATATGAGAGAAGCCTCCCTCAAGGATGATAAAACATAAAACATCTGGGCGTCTCCTGGGCAATGTTCTTGCTGACGGCCAATTCTCTTATACCAAAAGTGACTTGCAGTTTCTCAAGTCACTCCTAGCACAGAAAAAAAAGTCAAGCAAGATTGAAAAGATGTTGAGGGGTGAGAAGGACCTATCCAGAAGAACTTGGATCATAAAGGAAGATTGTTGTTGTTCATTCGTTCAGTCGTCTCCGACTCTTCGTGACCTCATGGACCAGCCCACGCCAGAGCTCCCTGTCGGCCGTCACCACCCCAGCTCCTTCAAGGTCAGTCCAGTCACTTCAAGGATGCCATCCATCCATATTGCCCTTGGTCGGCCCCTCTTCCTTTTGCCTTCCACTTTCCCCAGCATAATTGTCTTCTCTAGGCTTTGCTGTCTCCTCATGATGTGGCCAAAGTACTTCAACTTTGTCTCTAGTATCCTTCCCTCCAGTGAGCAGCCGGCTTTATTTCCTGGAGGATGGACTGGTTGGATCTTCTCGCAGTCCAAGGCACTCTCAGAACTTTCCTCCACCAACACCACAGCTCAAAAGCATCTATCTTCCTTCGCTCAGCCTTCCCTAAGGTCCAGCTCTCACATCCGTAGGTTACTACAGGGAATACCTGGACCTAAGCCAGAAGTACCTCTTAATTCTCTGCTTATATTGGTGTGTTGCAGTAAAAGTTAGATAATTTAAGGAAAAAAGTGGGAAGCCACTAGTTTAACATTGTGCTGACAGATAACATCTTGCCAGGATTTTCCGTTGAACCTGCCTTATGACTCAGTGGTGTGTGCCTACAGCACTGTTTACTGGCAAAAATTGTGAGTCTTCTGTAAAATTGAGAAACCGACTCTGCTGACGTTCTAAATAATCAAGAGAATGAAAGTTCTGTCTGTCGTCTTCATCAGCCACTCCACAGAACATTTGATTTAGCAATTTCCCTGATTTCCTAGGATACTTATATATTGTCCTGTTACTTTCACTGTGACGGAATTGATACTGTGGAACCAGATAGATGCTATTTAACAGCCATGGAGGTATCTGTATAAACATTTGGCAAATATGGAAATATGGTATTATGCTGTGTTAGGAATGCATATGGGGATTAAATTTTAAATAAAGCATATATTGTATTACTGTGACCTTGTACAACTATTTCTTTATAATTTAAGAGATTCCTATTTTCCCTGAGTAGGTTATTATGGTACATTTTTAGTAACATAAATGTATTTTGGTGAGTGAGGCATACATTTTCCTAGCATTATAAAGTTTGCTATCTAAACTGTGTCACGGTGTTATATTTTTCTTAATGTGACTGCCCCCCCCCCCCCAATGCCTTGGAGCATAATATTTCTGCTGCTACTCCTTTACTTTCCTTGGTCTGTGAAAAAATGCTGCACAAATTTAGATATTCTTCACTATTGGAGAAATGTATTACAATATTCAGCATTAAAGGAGGCCGTGGTTTCAAATAACAAGGTGATCATTTGGTTCATATTTAACATCTTCCCACCATGCATCAAAGGATTTCACAATCTTGCTTCACAATGAGAAGGCAAGAAGAAGCAACGTCGAAAAAGAACTTCATACCAAATTTCTGGGTGTAGTAATCAAAGTTATCCTGATTAGTGATACATACAATAATCTACATCCAAAGTGTGCAAATGGACTTCTGCTTCAGTATTGGGCCTTTTGATTCTCTCCTCAAGTTTTCGGTGTGCCACCTTTAAACATTTGAAGCAAATTTGAAGGGGCTAGTGGTTTGAGTGCTAAACTACACTTCTGGAAGCTAGGCTTCAAATCCCTGCTAAGCTATTGAACCACTGGATGATCGTGGGCAAGTCACACTATTTTGGCCTCAAATAAGGGCAAAGGCAACCCCCCTCTGAACATATTGTGCCAAGATAATATTGTAATAAGTTTGTCTTAGGATTGCCATAAATGACTTAAAAACATGGATGTCTATTGGATGCTGTTCCACCAGTGGTAGATGCAATTCTTTTAGGTGAACATTAGTGTTGTCAGCCTATAACCCCTCAGTGTTTTTGGGTGTGGGTAGGCTCAGAAAGCAACTAGGTGAAGGGTAACTTGGGAGGGGGGGGGGAATCATAACTAATAGTCACTTGTAATTAATTTTATTCCAATACCAAAGATGCAGCCAGGTTATGTTGTGATCTTTTTATTTAGTTAACAGGTAATTATGCTGCTTTCCCATGCAATTGTCAAGTTGTTTTATGATGAGGGATGTTGGTGCTGAGGCTTCCGTAAATGCTGGAGAACCAATATCACATGTTGGTGGGAAAGGGAGATATGGCATACTAGAGAAATACAGGCAGCCCCCAAATTTTGAACGAGACAAGTTTTGTAGGCTTGTCCTTAAGTTGAACTTGTATGTAAGTCTAAACAGGTACATTTTAAGTGTAACTCCAGCCAAATACATACCTCTGTCTGTCTGTTTGTCTGGCTGTCTGGCTGGCTATCTATAAAAACTTTGGATAGCATAGGGAAGAATTAACACTCATGTGATTTTTGTTTTACTGTCTGTGCCCCTGTTCAGAAGATTTTTACCCCCCTTTCTGTTCCTGTGATAATTGGATTTTGAAAAAAAAATTGGCTTGTTGTAGAAACAAGGATTGATGATAAAGCCTCAGAGGACACCCCTTTTCCCCATAATAACTTTCAGGAGTGAATTTCCTTTCCGAGGGGTAGATTTGTCTCACTTAATGTTGCCTCATCCCCGTTCTTAACTATGAGTTGTCTGTAAATCGGATGTTTGTAACTCAGAGACTGCTTGTACTCTGCAGGGAACATTTTAAAAACCTTTTTGTATTAGAAATGTATAGATTCTGTGAACAGAAAGCCAACTGTGAGTAGCAGAACCATGCAGGCCTTTGTAAACTAGCCACTTTATCATTAAGTATTTCCACATTTAGCTTTTGGATGGATCTAGCAAGGATTCTATAAGTATAGTGATGATAAAACTGTGTTGTAACCTTTTTAATTGCATGCTAACATTGTGAGTAAATATGACTAACTTTCTGAATGCTTAAACATTTGAAGCTAATAGTTAATTAACAGAGTCAAAGGATGCATCCAGGCAAACAACAGCCAGGCTACCTCTATGCATATGCCCCCCACTGATAGACCTTGCATCTGCAAGGCTACTCAGTGCTAATCAAGCTTGCTAATTGTAACATTCACACTTGCTTCAAACAGACAAGGGTTCCTTATCGCACCCTGGACATTCCAGATATATATATACTCCACCAGCCTCATTTCCAACAGACCTCTAAAGATGTAGGTGAGACATCAGTAGAAAATGCTACTGGAACATGGCCATACAGCCCAAAAACACAGCAACCTAGAGTCAGCATAGTAAAGTAATTTGAATGTTGAACTAGGATCGGGAGATCAGGGATCTGATCCCTACTCAACCATGGAAACCCACTGGATGATGCTGGGCCGGTCATATTCTCACAACCATAGAAGGCAATGAAAAATCTCAGAATAACCGCTTTTAGTGGATCTGATTTTGTTGTGCTTTTTGTATACTGTTTTTATATGTTGTACACCGCCGCGAGTCGCCCTAGGGCTGAGAACGGCAGTTAACAAATGCAATAAATAAATAAATAAATAAATAAATAAATCTGTGTACCTGTTATGTTTCATGTTTGTGAGTGTATACAGGTATGCGTTCGTTTGTGTATACATGGCCCACAACGAAATTACACAGAAATACTGTGGCTATGTGTGAAAAGAATTGCTGTTTTGTCCATCAAGAATTTAGGAGTGGTAGTATCAAGGGAATTCTTTTGGAACTGAAGTGTTTCTCCTTAAGAAGTGCTGTTATCTCCATTCAGGCAGCTTGGAGGAAGGAAACTTTATTTTGGCTTGGGTGTGCTTGACATTTTTTTCATTATAACTTGTGTTTAATTATGTTGAGTATTCTTTGGTTGTAGTGATTTTTGTGTGTGACAGAGCTAGCCTATGCCCTCAATGCATCCTTTCTGATCTTGGAAGCTAAGTGGGGTTTGCCCTGGTTAGTATGTGGATGGGAGACCACTAAAGATTACCAGGTGCTGTTAGGCTATATTTCAGAGGAAGGAATGGGCAAAACTACCTCTTGAGTATTTCTTGTCAAGAAAACTATGAAGTTCATAAAATTGCCATAATTTAGTGGGTGATTTAGAGGCACATATACACATAAATAGGCTGGACTGAGAGAGCTATTAACATGATCTTTATTCCTTTCTTTTGTTGCTGTTACCCCAGATACAACTATGATAGAAGATAAAGGCCCAAGAGTTGTGGACTATTTTGTAGTAGCAGGTCTCACTGATACATCAACTCTTCTGGATCAAGAAATAAATCGCTCTGAAACAAAGTCAATTGGTTCGAAGGCTCCAATCACAGATCTTGCTGTCATCATCAAGTCGGCAGGTGAAACTGTTCCTGAGGGATACACTTGTGTTGAATCAACCCCAACAGCGCTTCAGGCCAACTTGAACTATGGGAGTCTTAAAAGTCCAGAGCTTTTTCTTTGCTACAAGAGGAGTAGGGACAAGCCACCGCTTACTGATATTGGGTGAGTTGGCTTCTAATTGATCATGCGCAGCAGTCTTGTGGTGAGATGGGAAAAGGTCTTGTTAGTGAGAGAGATTTTCAAAACATCTTAATAGTAGAACTGTGATAACATGTAATATTGTAGGTATTTGAAAGAAATGCACATGGTGGCTTTATATATAAAATAATTAATTTCTCAGTGTTTGAGATCATGAGTAAAATTCAGTGTCAGCTTACTTGACAGTAAGTTCCAGTTATTGCTAAATGGTATGTATAAGATTGCACTGTTTGTGAAAGAGGGTCAAAGAGTAGAATTTGAGAGAATACTCTTATAGTTCTCCTAGTAGTTCAAATGTTCCAAATTTGTCCATGGAGTCTTTTATGGAAAATTGCCTTAAAGAGATTGTGTTATTCTTCTGATGTTGCCTGTGAGTGCTAAATTGAATATATTAATGCATGAAGTCCCATAGAATGTTCCAATGGACACAGTTTGTTGCATTAAGGCCGTCTACAGTAATCTTTCAGAAAAGAAATAGCGTGCCTTGAGGAATGAAAACAGAATTGGCGCACTGCAAGTGACATATGGAAGCACATATCCAATTGATAATTGCACATGTCTCTTTACAGTCAGCACTACTGGAAGAATTCAGCTTCGTTGGTCATAATAATTTCTTGAGGCCTTTGCTTCACTCCTCTTACACCAGGGCACATCTGTGGTCATTTCGTGGCAAGGGGATAATGAGATGTGGCCAGACAGTGACTGGTTGTGCTTAAAATATCAGCCATTGGAAGATGGTGTCACCTTTCTAAACCCCTAGAAGACCCCAGAGGAATACAAAAAGCATCTGTTCTTCTGTAGCTTGGTGAATGGTCGTCTATCTTTTAGAATGTTGTGCATAAATGACTGGTTTTGGACCCTTGGCTACAACACAATGGTTCTTTAGCAACAGTACCAAAGCCATGGTTAGCATAATAAAAAATTAACATCCATTACATTTTGTTTTGGTTTGGACTTGTTAGTCCAAGTGTAATTTTTGCATAGTCTAGAACAGACAAATTGGTACCTCCATTATGTGTTGGGCTACAACTGCTGTCAATGCTGGTCAGAATGACTAGTGGTTAGGGGTTGTGTAAAGTGTTCTTGAAAACATTTGGATAGCCCCACGTTTCTTACCATAGTCTAGTAAGTAATTTGACCCAGTAGTCTAGTAAGTAATTTGACCCAGAAGGATATTTTTGTTGTATACTGTTAAAAAACGTTTTTGAAATTACGGTTGTTAATTTGTATATTAAACTAAACTGTTAAGAGCAAAAAAGCAATACATCCATTGAGCTTTCATGTCTTTCACTTTTCTTATTTCTCATTCATTGTTTAAAATATAGTAATACTGATACTGAAGTGCAAATGATATTTACTTTTAGGTAACAGCAAATCTTTTTCCCCCCAGAAAGTCTATAGATCATTTTTGTGGTGATAAAAATTCCTGGTGGTAATTGCTCATTCTATTTTAAACCATTGCTTTAGTTTCAAAAATAGTTTGAGGCCCATTTACAAATGAGACCTTTTTATTTTTGTTGTTATCACTTGAATATACAATAGTACTTTTTTACTTTACTTCCCCCTGTGTGGGTGTGTTTGTGGGCGTGAGAGCAATTGAGATAAGAGAGCAGAAGTATATTATGGTGCATGCATGAAAATATTTCAAAAGTGGTCAGCAATCTAAAACACCTCGGGGAAAAGTGGTCTGAAAAACAGGCAAAGGGACATTAGATATAAGTGTGTTTGCTTAACTGCTTTTTTGAAATCTCCTGTTTTAGGTTTCCCCTTGAACTTTGCAGAAATCAAAGTTGTTCCCCGTTTTGAAAGTTATTGTTCTGCATTTGCACAAGGAGTTATTATTGTACAGTACATTGACAACTAACTCTATTTATGCGTGTGTGAAATGTTCACATGTCCATTAATTCCTTCCAGAGTTTTATACGAAGGGAAGGAGCGTTTAATGCCAGGTTGTGAGGTGATCCAGGCAACTCCCTATGGACGATGTGCTAATGTCAATAACAGTTCGGCCACATCCCAGCGGATCTTTATCACTTATCGGAGGGCTCTTCCAGTTCGATCCCAAAACTCCCTGGCTGTCACCGACATCTGTGTGATTGTAACCAGCAAAGGGGAAACCCCTCCCCATACTTTCTGCAAAGTTGATAAGAATCTAAATTGTGGCATGGTGAGAAGAATATCTTGTTGTCTGAAGCTTTGAAACAATTATGAAGTGTTGGGTTGGGCAGAAACTATTGGGGTTGGTTTACTCTTGAAGATCTAAATCCAATTTCAATTGTTGAATGGAAAGTCAATACTATCTGTTGCTTAAGTGAGTCTTTCCAGTTGGGACTTGGATTTAGACCTCTTTTTTAAAGTGTCTACTGTGTTTCTACCTAGCATGTTTAACTTTGCCTCACTTTAATCTCCACAACTCTGTATTTTTTTCCTTTCTGCACTGTGGTTGCTGGAAACATATCTGTGAGATAGCCAGTTACCTAATTTTCCTTCAAAGAACAGAGTGAGAATAAAAACAAGTGTTGGACTTTGGAAGGGTGCAAATGTTGCAATGATAAAAAAACTTCTGACATGAAAAAAAGATGAGATTATTTAAATGAAAGTGAAAATAGATGTATTCTTTATACCTATTTTCTATATAATCTGTTTTTTTTTCTTCAGTGTAGACAATAAGTCAACTACAAAATCAATGAGTGATTTTTAAATAGAATTTGTATTACCTAAATCTCTTTTAAAAGTGATTTTCCAAATAAAACCACTATGGTTGAGGGACAGAATGTATAATTATGTATTAATTGGCACATAGCTTGTAATAAAATATAGAATTAGAACTGTAAGGCATTTTGTAGTTTGCTGTGGTTTCAACAGAAGCATTAAATAGTGGCTTAAGAACTTTAGTGAGCTATGATAAGAAAATAGAAAACTTTTATGTTTCTCTGAACACATTATGGCAGTACTTGTCATTATTTCTATTTATTAGCTCCCTTTTAAAGATTATCATCATTGGCGATCACTCGTTTCCGAGTATGATTGTCTTTTGTGTCTTGGTGGTGGCTCTGTAGACCTATCCTTGATCCACTTGTTATTCCACAGTGAGGACAACGAATGCAGTCCTGGTCAGGGTTGGCTTGACGCCCTTTCCTCTTGACACATTTCTCCCTTTTGCCCTCCATTCATGCCTCTTCAAATTCCACAGCACTATTGGTCACAGCTGACCTCCAGTTAGAACGTTCAAGGGCCAGAGCTTCCCAGTTCTTGGTGTCTATGCCACAGTTTTTAAGGTTGGCTTTAAGCTCATCTTTAAATCTCTTTTCCTGCCCACCAAGATTCTGTTTTCCATTCTTGAGCTGAGAGTAGAATAACTGCTTTGGAAGACGGTGATCAGGCATTCAGACAATGTGACCAGTCCAGCGAAGTTGGTAGTGGAGGATAATCTCTTCAATGCTCATGGTCTTTGCTTCTTCCAGCAGAGTGACATTTGTCCACCTGCCTTCCCAGGAGATTGGCAGGAATTTTCAGAGGCAGTGCTGATGGAATCATTCCAGAAGTTGAGTGTGATGTCTGTAGACAGTCCACGTTTTGCAGGCTTATAACAGGGTTGGGAAGACAGTAGTTTTATACACAACACCTTGGTATCCCCACTGATGTCCCGATCCTCAAACACTCTGCTTCATTCAGAAAAATGCTGCACTCGTAGAGCTCAAACGGTGTTGTATTTCAGTGCCAGTGTTGACTTCTGTGGAGAGGTGGCTGCCAAGGTAGCAGAAGAGTTCAACATTTTCTAACATTTTGATACTCTAAACAAAAACAAAAATGAAAAACAAAGACAATATATCTGTAATGAGTTTTTCCTGAGTACAACAAATCCAAAGGATCCCCCAGTTAGTATAATGCTGATCTTTAAGATATTAGCCAGTTCTCCACTGAGTCAGCATAAAAATGTTGCCATTGCTTGATTATGCACGCATGTGAATCAAATCTTACAGAGATACCAGTAGAACGAAATTGTAAATCATTCTTGTATTCTGTTCAGTACTTTCTGTGTCTGTCTTTAATCATGACTTAATGTGTTGTCTTATAGTGGGGTTCCAGTGTATACCTGTGTTACAAGAAGTCTGTTCCAGCTTCTAACTCAATTGCATATAAAGCTGGTAAGTTATTTATTTTTCTAAATTTCAGATATATAATAAGATTTGGGGTCCCTGGTGGCACAGCGAGTTAAATCAGTGAGCTGCTGAACTAGCTGACCAAAATGTTGGCGGTTCAAATCCAGGGAATGGGGTGAGCTCCCGCTGTTAGCCCCAGCTTCTGCCAACCTAGTAGCGAAAACATTCAAATTTTAGTAGATCAATAGGCACTGCTTCTGCGGGAAGGTAACAGTGCTTCATGCAGTCATGCTGGCCACATGACCTTGGAGGTGTCTACAGACAACACCTGCTCTTCGGCTTAGAAATAGAGATGAGCATCCCCCTCCCAGAGTTGGACACGACTAGACTTAATGTCAGGTGAAACCTTTACCTTTATGATAAGATTCAGAGATTGCAAAGCTTTTTACATTGTATTAAACCTCCTTTCTTGATTTTGACTTTGGAAGACACTTAAATTTCATTAAACCATGTCTTATTTGAGTATACTTATTGTTTAATTCTTGTCCAAATAGTTTGGAGCAGCAAACATGCTGTGTCCTCACATCATCCTTAATTTTATACATTTTGTCAGATTTGAACCTGATCAGCAGACTGTTCACAATATCACACTGATTTTCAATTCGGTCACAACAAACAATACAGAATCTGGAAAATAAGCCAATTAGAAATCTAGGCCCTATTATTCTAGGATATGCCATCTAGAAACATTCACACAGGTTCATGGAGTCAGGCATTTAGGAATAATTGGGAAAACTATATTTGTTGAAAAAAATATACTGATTCTCTTGACTTCAGTGTCAGTTCCTCAGAAAATAGTAGATTAAACTGGGTAATCAGAGTTCCTCAAAAACAATCAACTCAAGTGGACAAATTCTGTGAGGCTGTGTGGCCTCACAGAATTTTGGTGGGATTAACAGTGAAAGCAAACAGAGTACATCTGGAAGGTAGATAGGATGTATTGCAACTGAGAGTGTTATATTGTCTGTCTTGACAAATGAAGGAAGGGTACAGTTTAAAATGATTTATATCAGTACATAAAGTAGCTGAGTGAGTAAAGATTGTATTTTGCGGTTTATATGTGTCAAAGCGGATAATGGTGATAGCTTTGGTCACAGAGACATTCTCTAACCAGTTTCTAAATATCCACACATCTCACTTATGGCACATTTACCCTGACCACCTAAGTCATTTTGAGGAAGAATGCGGTTTTGCTGTGCATGTGATTAGATTGTTAACACTGGAACCAGTTTAGGGCCTGGATGGTGATTACACATGTGCAGAGAGTGACATTGAACCTGTTCCAGGACATTAATATTTATCTCTTGACAGCAGTGGAGAATGCAGGGTTTTTTCCCCCAACTCCCCCCACAGGAATACTTATGTGTGCATCAGTGGAGTGTTTTGGGTGTCGGCATAGTGATTCATGTTCTGCAGAACCTATTTCTCTGTGTAGTTTACTACAGGCTGTTGATGCACATTAATGACTTTATTTTGAACTTTCCTCCATCTTTGCTTATGTCAGAAAGTGTGCTGTAGTGTGCTTTTACAATGTATGCAGTCTAGCCATCATGTTTTGACGATATCTTGAAGCTGCATTAAGTGGTCAATGTAGATAAGACCTGAGTCTCCAGTCTTACAACCCATGCCTTCAGATGTGAAGGCCCCTGAATGGTTAGCTTCCATCAGCCCCTATATGAATACATTAATGTGAATCAAACTAAATGGATTGTTTCCGATATTATTAATAAGGTTTTTTGAGACAATTAGCTTTAATTTATTTTCTGTTAGTTGAATTATCTAAAAGCATGTGTTGTAATCTTGATTAAGATGATAGGCATCTTCATATCTTTTACATTTTTTAAAAGGCTTAATATTCAGATACCCAGAAGATGACTACGAGTCATTCCCCTTGTCAGAATCTGTACCTTTGTTTTGTCTTCCAATGGGAGCTACTATTGAATGTTGGGATTCTCAAACCAAATATCCACTACCTGTATTCTCAACATTTGTTTTGACTGGTTCATCTGCAGAAAAGGTATGTTTGAATAATGTAATAACCTATATACCCATTTAGTATAAGAATAATTTATTGAAATGAGATGTCTCTTGAGTTTTGAAATCAAGATGTTGCATGTTACTTAAAATACGTTTCATTTAATTTAAATGTAGCCATACAAAGGTAAAGTTATTAAAGTCAGTGGCACGCATATGGTGATCACGGATATATGTTGTAATTGCATTTTTTTAAAAAAACATTTGAAAGTACTGGAGCTCAAAGCATCTTAAGATGATTGTCCAGATGATTAACGGTGTGAAGAGTGTCCCACAAAAGAAACATTTCTCTGTTAACAAGTTTGGGTGCATTTCTCTGTAGAATTAATGCAGTTAGGCACCACTTTAATTGGCATGGCTCAACACTAGGGAATCCTGGGATTTGTAATTTTACAAGGCCTTTAGCTTTCTCTGCCAAAGTCTGGTGGGGATTTATGAAACTGTAACTCTCATGATTCCATAGCATTGAGCGATGCAAGTTAAAGTGGTGTCAAACTGTGTTAATTCTACTGTGTAGAATTTGTTTGCATCCACTGTTAAATATTTTCTTGGGGTAGGAATAAGAGCAAAATAAATACATTGAAGCTTAAATGCTTTGTAACTTTTTAAAACTAGGTTGTTACATCACAAACTAAGTAAAGATACTTCACTGCCTAAACAATGCTTTCTTTTGTTTCTGTGAACATCTCAATTAACAAAGCACAAGGACTATGGACCACTTTACTGAACCTGCCTTTTTCATGTGATTCAGGAAAGATGAATCAAATTGAACTCAAGCTGTTGAGATATCCATGGAACTTTAACAGTCCTTGTGTAACACATTCAGACTGAGCAAAAACATTTGTCCTGGGCAGTCTTGGAAAAGGACAGAATAGAAGTTTATCCACTTTCTCCTGTTTTAACATAATCAAAATAATCCTTCTCGTTTCTCTTTAAATCAGAAGTGCAACCCTCCAAATGCTTTTGAACTGGAGCTCCTAGCTTTTCTTTCCATTGGCTATGCTGCCTAGGACTGCTAGATATTGCAGTCCAAATCACCTAGAAGGATGCATATTACTCACTCCTGCTCTAAATTCTTGATGAAATTATTTCTGTCTTTGCCTGTATTCCAACCCTTTCCTTGTCACTCTAGGTGTACGGGGCTGCTATCCAGTTTTACGAGCCTTACTTGCGAGAGCTGCTAACGGAAAAGCAACATATGCAGCTGGGCCTTTTGACACCAGTAGAGAGAAAAGTAGTTACTTCCAAATCCATAAATTCCAACAAATGTATCTGCCTTCTATCACACTGGCCTTTCTTTGATGCCTTTAGAAAATTCCTCATGTTCATCTATAAATTGTCAGTGTCTGGACCGCATCCTCTTCCCATTGAAAAGTAAGTAAGACTCTGCCAAAACAGCTCTCTATTTTCATGGTTGCATTTTGAAAACTGATAAACTCTGATGTGGTTATGTCAATTCTGTATGTCTTTCTGGTAAACTGTGATAGAAGTTATCTCTTATCCAAAATGCTGGGGACCAGAAGTGCTTTCTATTTTGGATTTTTATTTTTTAAAAAAAAAAAAAATACCTGCGTTCGCATACATGAACTTGAGATATCTTGAACATGGGACCAAGTATAAACAAAAAATTAATTTATGTTTCATATACAACTTATGCACATTTGCCTGAGTAATTTTAAATAATACTAGCTTATGTGCTCGGCATTGCCCGTGTTTGCATTTTGTAATGGTATTTATTAGCAAAAAGAATTGTCAGTTTTATGATTCTTAGGGATGATTCAATCACCAAACTGAAGTACAAAGCACTACTTTTTTTGTCCCTGAGATAGTGACCCCACCTGACTGATATAGGTCTCTATGGCAACCTTCTGATGGCCTTTTGTGGTTTCAGCCGGATCTTTCCAATTCATTTATAAGTTGTTGATCATGTTGCTCGGTTGTCTCACATTCTCACAATAATTGTAATGTGCTTGCTTTTGGAGAGACTTGTCCTAATTTTTTAAAAGGAGTTCCATAGTCACCTGACTTGATTAAATAAACATACTTATTTGCCATAATGAAACACAAAGCAGCAGTTTCTCTATTCCTGACCACCACCACCCCCCTTTGTGATATAGGTCTCCATGGCAATCCTCTAGTGGCTCTACTGCCCTATTGCATTTGGTTCTGGCTAGTTGCAACTCCCATCTGCCCCAGATTTCTCTGTGCTTCAATTCCCAGCAGTCTTAGATCTGGCTGGCTCCCACTCATGGCTATCCACCTAACACAGTGGTTCTCGACCTGTGGGTTCCCGGGTGTTTTGGCCTACAACTCCCAGAAATCCTAGCCATTTTACCAGTTAGGATTTCTGGGAGTTGAAGGCTAAAACATCTGGGGACCCACAGGTTGAGAACCACTGACCTAGCTGGTTAGACTGCTCAGCCTTCATCTTTGGCTGCAACTCCCATCATCCCCAGCCTGTCTAGGAAATGGGTAAAGATGTTGGAAGATGCATTCTGGGAAGTAGGCTGGACTGTCTTGACTGTTTTGGGGGAGAGCCACAACCTCAGTCGTGGATGGGAATCATGCAGCTCTCTGGATGTGGGTGGACTCCAACTCCCATCATCCTCTGTCATTTTCCTTTAAACTCTGGCAGTATTTTAAGTTGGTTGTAATTGGTATGTGAGCCAAGTTTGGTCCAGATCCATTGTTGGTAGTAATAATACGGCTCTCCAGAAATGGGTGGACTACAACCCCTATCAATTTTTGTCAATTCCCCCTTTATAAAAATGGGATGATTAAGATTGCAGTTTTTAATGGTTTTTATGTGAAATTATTCAGTATCTTAATTAAAGTTCAAAAGCAAGAGCTGTTCTGCTGAGAGATAGCTCTGAGGCCATTTTGTCCACAGTGCACTGGCAATTGAATTATGGCACAAACAGGACTTTTTGCACTTTTGCATCTTTGCTGCTGTTTCCTGTTAGCTTTGTACTTAAAGGACAGAAGAGTACTGTTGGTATCACAACACAGATAAGATGCTCATTTCCATAGCAACGGCAGGATTATTGGTTCACTCTCCAGACTGTAAACTCGATCCTTTTAGCTTTCCTACTTCCATTTCTACTCTCATGGCAAACATGCACTGCTCAGAAAAGGATGAGTAGTAGGAAATTGCTGTCCATACATCAACTATAACATAGTTCCTAATTCTATTCAATACCATTGTAAGACTAGCTGGTTTTCCAATTGTAACTATAGCATTGACTTGTAAACTATAGAGGAAAACTGATTAAAATCTTGTGTGAGTCATACCATCCTTTTGTCTTAGGTATTTTTAAAGCACTTTTGACTATTCCACACATAATAAACTGTATTGTTAAGAAGTCTCACGGGCCAGTTAAATGGACTGATTTCTCAGTGTTAGCTTAAACTCCCTGAAAGGGGAAGAGCAGTCAAAGAACAAACTGAGAAATCTTGGGTTGCTGTGAGTTTTCTGGGCTGTATGGCCAAGTTCCAAAAGCATTTTCTCCTGACGTTATGCCCACATCTATGGCAGGCGTTCTCAGAGATTGAGGGGTCTGTTGAAAATAGGAAAGTTAGGTTTACCGTATATATTTGTGGAATGCCCAGGATGGAAGAAAGAACTCTTGTCTGCTTGAGGCAAATGTGAATTTTGCAAATGGCCACCTTGATTAGCATTCAATGGCCTTGCAGCTTCAAAGCCTGGCTGGTTGCTGCCTGTGGGAATCCTTTGTTGAGATGTGTTAGCTGACCCTGATTGATTATTGTCTGGACTCCCCCTGCTTTTTGAGTCTTGCTCTTTATTTGCTGTCCTGATTTTAGAGACACTTAAAACACTTAAAACATTAAATACTCGTACTCCTGATAAACATACTTTAAACTCCTTCCATTGAAACCAGGAAGGCTTACAGTGCAGTCTTACTAACATCTACCTGGAAGTTAACTTCATTGTTTTTAATAGGATGTACTCTTAGTACATTTTTTATTGTTGGCTTATTCACCTTGGCCATCTTCAGGAGGTTTTTATTTCTTGCTTCTAGTTCATTTTTCCATGAATTCTTGACTGGCATTGCATTCCCTAGAAGATGAAAAAACAAGACTCTTTTTTGAGTCTCACCCCTGGCAGAGTTACACTCATTTTGGGAGTCCATGATGTAGAAACAGGATAGAGGGAGAAATTCGTGTCATTAGTTTCTTTCTGTTTTAGTTCATCAGGAGCTCAGTGATGCAGAATCCTAGCAGATGCTGGCTTGAAAACAGGGAGAGTCCAAAATATTGGATGTATGAATGACAGCACACAATTTCCTGTGGGTGGTGGGGTTGTGTGTGTATGCTATATATCTGAAACTTTATTTTTGTGTGAATAGGATTTTCATTTCATTTGTTCTAACTCAATAATCTAAAGTGAAAATTCAAAGTTTTTTTTAAGTTTGTTGCCAAATTATAAGACACTTTTTAGGTGCAGTATTTTAAAAATTATTGTTTTTTATTGATGGAGGGAAAGCTGAAATAGGCAAGCTGTTCTTTCTTCAAATATATGCATTCTACGCAGTAGTAACATGTTCTGGATTTCTCTCTGTCCTCCGTCAAATGCTCATCAGTAGTTTTTTGATGTGAGAAGACTGTTAAGGAAATATTCTTCACAAAAATCTCTAAACATTTTGAAACTTGTATTATTTATAATTTTATCTCTAAATAGTATATTATATCCATTTTCTAAATCATTCCTGGAAGCTGTGGAGCTTTTTTGAACATTCTAGAGAGTTTGAGAACTATAAAGAATATCCAATAATATGGTAGAACTTTCACTACCTTACTAAAATACACTTTTCCTCTTTGTACCACTTGCCCCACTCCATCCCCACCTCCAACATGGCTGCATTCCTTATTTGTTCCCCTCCCCGTTCCCTGCTGCTCCTGCGCCCCTCTTCTGCTCTCCTTCTCTTCCTTTTCCCTTATTTGGAAGATAAAGGAAGGGAGATTGGCAGAGACTGCTTGCTACAGAGTGGACGTCCTCTTGCTTGTGGTTATCTTTTGAGTCAATGCTGGGTTGACTTGGAAAATCACCTGTGTTTCAGATAATAATAATAATAATAATAATAACAACAACAACAACAACAACAAAACTTTAGTTATAGACCGCCGTATCTCCCTGAAGGGACTAATGACGAATTCCAACATATATGGCAAACATTCAATGCTAGAAAAAAGACATAATAACAAATTACATCCAAACAATGCACATTAAATAAAATAGTACAGCCATTACTATAAACTTCATACCAAATTGAAATTAATCAAAAAATAAAAAATAAAAAAACTTGACAACCTTTGCAAACATAATCACACAGTATGAATTGAAACAGGATAAAATGTAATTTCTATGGGTGAATTTTGGCTATGGGTCCAGTGATTTTTTCTTCTTGTCTAGAGTTCCCTAATTACAGAGTAACCATATTTATCTGGTCTTGCCATATTGGACCAGTGCTCACATACAGTAACCTGTTGAAAATAATCTTGTTGGATTTTAAAGGCCATAGTAGTACAAGGAGAAGGGTTTCTGAGTTCCAGTGTTCCTCTCCTTCCTCTCCCAAGAGAAGTGCAGCTAGGTTTCCATTGCTTCTTTCTATTGATTAAAAAGTTAGTCTCCTTCCTCTACTGAGAGGGACATATAACTCCATGTAGCTGGGCTTCTCACATGATTTGACACCTGGGAGAGTACTGCTTTGGGGCAACCTGGTTCCCCACTTCTCTTGCCTTTGTCCATGAATGGGACCTACATGTATAACTGACTGGGACTTTTTGCATGCAAACCCATTCCTTGTTAAAGCCAATTGAGGGAAAAAAACCATGTATTTTAAGATAAGAAGTCTTGTGCAAGTTTCTTGTGGTAGCGAGATTAAATATAGGACCGTTAGTAGGCACTTTTAATAGTACCATGGATGGGGTAAAACACACATACAGCCTACACTCCTAGCCTTGCAGAGAAATACCTTCAAACTTTCTGATAGCTATGCTACTAAAATTATAGAATCCTGCCATGTAGAATTCACTTTTTGTGGCTTTCTATCAAGGCAAATCCGCCTCTTGTTCTTTGCTGTAACCCATAGGCAAAATTGGAATAATTTTGTTACATAATTAAAACATTGGGTCAAAGGGTAACTTAGTTCAAGCTGGAAACATAAGCCAAAAAAGGCAAAGTGACTGACTGCTAGATAAGACCTTTATTAAAGTGCATATATTCATAGAGTTTTGTGTTTGTTGCTGTCAGAACTCCAAGCTGTTTAGCTAGGAATGCTGTGTAGCAACCTGTCAAGAACCAAATTAAAAAGACGATGTTGACAGCTTTGTGTTGACAGTTCTTGTGCACTGGAATTATTTCCAAAACCCAAGTAGTCACAAAGGGTTTGAGATCAAAGGAGGTTGTACCACAGTCTTCTAATTAGATCAGAGCTATGCTCCCTCTTTGTTTAATTTGGCTTGCTTGGAACTGGGGAATTCTTTAACTTATACTTTTTCAGATTTAACCATGATGTTTTCAAGAGGCACAGTTAGCCTTGAAATGAGTCTGAATCATGTCTGATATGTAGTGTGTTGCAGGCTGGGGTCCTGAAAAAATGGGCAAGAGAGCCCTGATGAAACTAGTGTTATATTATGTGTGTCAGGAAACCATTGAATCTTATTCAACCCACTTTCAGTGGATTGAAATTTGTAGATAAATAGTAAAAAAAAAAACATATGTGTATACAACATTTCTCATAGGAAAAAAATCATTTTGTGGCTTGAGCATTGCACTAAGGGTGCACCTGTGCTGTGTAATTAATGCAGTTTGACGCAACTTTAACTGCTATGGCTCAGTGCAATGGAACCATGGTAGTTCTAGCACTCTTTGACAGAAAAGGCTAAATGCATAAAACTACAACATCCGTAATTCCATAGCACTGAGCCATGGCAGTTATAGTGGTGTCAAGCTGCATTAATTCTACAGTGTTGATGCATCTAAGACTCTGGTAGACTAGTGTTTAAATCCCCATTTGGCCATGGAAATCCACTGGGTTACCTCGGTAAGACTCGTAGCTTCAGGGGAAGGCTGTGGCAATCCTCCACTGAATAAATCTTGCCCAGATAACCCAGTCATAGGTTTGCCTTAAGACAGTGGTTCTCAACCTGTGGGTCCCCGGATGTTTTGGCCTACAACTGCCAGAAATCCCAGCCAGTTTACCAGCTGTTAGGATTTCTGGGAACTGAAGGCCAAAATATCTGGGGACCCACAAGTTGAGAGCCACTGTCTTAAGGCCACCATAAGTCAGAAACAACTGGAAAGCACAAAGCAACACCTTGCTGTTAAAAATGGTGCAGTTAGAAATTGCAATGCCTGTGGTCCTCTTGAACAGGGTGGGGGGGGGGAGACACTGAGAGGAAGAAGAATTGCCATTTAAATGACACATATACTTCTCATTTGTATGAAAAGCAGGAAAAAAGACTGCAACCTCCAATGAAGAATGTTGCTGTTGCTGACAAACTGTTGGGAGCTCTTAGCATCTGTAATGCACCACACTAATTGCATGCAAGTTGGTATTGCTTATTTCACATAGACTCAGAGGTTTCTTGTTACATTTGGGACACATGCCTACACACTGCAGATGACACACTAATGTGGCCCAGCACACTGTTTGGAAAGCTCTGCATTAGAGGATCAGCAAGTGACAGTAACTCTAATGTGAGTGATTTCATTCATTCCTATGATGACATTTCCCAAGTAGATGTGTGGACAGATTTGCTATCAGGGTTTGTGACAAGATCTTGTACCGAATCCCCCATTCATTTTGTCTGTCCTTATGTACCTAAATAAATGTTTGAGACTGGGTAAGTTGTCTGTAGGCAAGTAAATGTGCTCGAGAGGCCAGCATTATTGTTCAAAATTGAACATATGTCTAAGTTGTCTTGACACTAGTGAGGGTCTTCTATTTCCTGTCTTTATCCAGTAATAGGTTAGTCTTAGGTACAAGTCTTGCCTTGTTGATTCGTTTTGAGGAATACTAGCTGTAATTCCGTAGGTTTGGCATTCATGTCTTGTGCATCTGAGATGTGATTATATCAAAACAACTTGGCTGTAAACTGTGGATTTGTTAGTGTGTTCCATATCTGTTTGCTATGTATATCCTCCTTTGGATGAGGCATAAAAGGCTATCCTTTAGTTTTTTGTGCTCTATCAAAGCTGTCAACCTCTAGGAGGTGCTGCCACCTCCAGCACCTATCAGTATAGAGGCGAAAAAGCAGGGAGTATTCGGATATTGATGAAGCAGCTCTTCTCAGCCAAGCTGATGGTGTATTCTCCTATTCAGTCTTCTTTTGTGTTTATTCTCCTGTCCATTCTGCTCAGAGTTATCTTCTCTGAACTGCTCCCATACTTGCTCCTTTCCCCCAGTTGGAACCAGGAGTAGCAATGCTACCTGCTTCTGTTAACATCTGGGCATGGGGGTTTTGGACATAAAAACCTATGGAATAGTATTTTGCACTCGGTTCAGAAACAGACTTATGCATGCATAAACTGCACTTCCGCACATAAGCAAGTAATAAGCAAGGATACCAGCCAATGTATTTTATTTTGCAGAGTAGAGCTGGCTCAATTCTTAACAGGATGTTACAGGTTCATACCAGTTCATCTTTCCTCTTCCCTCTTTTTATGAGATACTTTCAAGATTATTCATGGTTTCCATTTTTCTCTTTTATGTGGTTGATTTGTTTATATTTCTTTCTGAAAAGATAATTCATTTCTTGTTACTGTCTTTGGACTCGTGGGTACTTTTTTAGACTTTTCAAGCCTCCTAGAAAGCTAGTTTTTTCTTCTTTAGAAATATTTCTAGATTGGTTTGTATGCAAAGAGTGTGCTCACAAGAAAGCCAGATACAAACTGAATGAATTTGGGTAGATTGGCCACATTTGCAACATTTCATGAATAGCGCATAAGACTGTTATTCTGAAACATTGTTGCTTTAATAAAATAACAAACAAGCACATGAATCCAAGTTCTCATGAACAGACAAGTGCCTAGCTGTCAAAATTGGCTGATCTCTCTGAGTATTTGTGCAAGTTCTTAGTAGTAATGACAATGTTTTGTATAATGCTTTTTGTATAATGTTTTTTGCATAATGGTTCGAGAATTGTTTTTATACTGTGTTTTGTATTTTGTTCTTCCCATGTTGTACACCACTGTGAGTCGCCCTTGGGCTGAGAACAGCGGTATAGAAGCAAAGTAAATAAATAAATAAATAAAAATGTTAGGCGGCTTTCATATCTTCTGATTGAAATACCCTGAATACTAACATATAACTAGAAATTTAGTTTTGAAAAAATCAACCCCCCCAAACCTTTGGTTCAACTCATTCATGAATTAATGTGAATACTGTATCCCAATTCTTATCAAAAAGGGAACCATTTGCTTCTCTGAGTAGAGTGGTGAAAGGCAAGAACTTAGTTCATCTCAGGAGAATGTAAAAGAACATTGATCTGTGTACTCTTTTCTGCCGTGGTGCTGCTTCTGGCCTTTTTGAATATCTGGATGGGGAAATGGCAGCAAGTGACACCAATATTTTATCTTCCCTACAAAGAAGTCTTTGGCATGGGTCAATATCAAAATCAATTATTTTCGTCCTAAAACCTACTTTCTAGCTATACATGAGGTGGAATTATACATGTGTAAGTGATTCTTTGAAAAACTTTTCAAAAGCCCAAACAAATCAATTGTGTTAGGAGTTTGACTACTAAATTAATACAGCATACTTACATGTTTTTCATCCTCATTCTTTTTTTTTTAATTCCAGTGTTTCAGAACATTTACTTTAAATCTTTAAATTCTGATACTTACAGCTAATATTTTTCAACATTTCTTAACAGGCACATATCCCACTTTATGCATAATATACCTTTCCCTTCTCCTCAAAGACCAAGAATCCTTGTGCAGGTAAGTGAAGTATCTAATGAAGTTTAATGCCAGCGTCTTTCCCTCTAAATATAGCCTGTTGCTTTTTTTCATGTCTTATCCTAAGCCAAAGCATAGAAAGTTTTTTTAAAAATTAATTAGTCACAGTTGAACTGCCAGCATCTTCCAAAAGTATCACATACCCATTGTTGTTACTATTAACTCTTTATTTCCCTATTTCACAGTTTAAAAATATTTTTTGTTTTTAAAAAAGCACAGAATAATTCAAATTTTATGGCACTTTTGACATTTTAGATATATAACTACCAGGACTATATATACAGCTACATACTATACACTACAATTAAACTACAGCTTAGCAACTTTTAAAAAAACGACCAATTTCCTGTCAGAAGCTGTATATATAGTCCTGGTTGTAATCCCTTTCTTATTAGCTTAGTTCCTTTGAACTAAAGGTTCTCAACTTGTGGGTCCCCAGATGTTTTGGCCTTCAAGTCCCAGAAATCCTAATAGCTGGTAAACTGGCTGGGATTTCTGGCAGTTGTAGGCCAAAACACCTGAGGATCCACAGGTTGAGAACAACTGCTTTAAACAAAAATGTTATCAAAATTTGACTTAAAATGACACTTGATTAATTCATGAATTGCAAAGTTGATAATGCCCCCGTTGTCGTTGTAAAAAGGTAATGAAGGGGTCCCATTATTTCTTAACATTACTTTCCTTTTCTCAAAATAATTGCTTTTTTAAGAAAAAGCCACAAACTTTTGCCCTGTGGTACAAAGCACAATTGTCTTTTGTGCGCCATGAGAAGCAGCAGAATGGAACACAGTGTGAACCAGCTCTTGAAGTCTGTTTTTCTTCCTTAATCAGTGACACCATACTGTGTAACTGGAAAAGTAACTAAATGTTAGTTACACTGCAAAGGTGATATCATGACCCTTTACTAAGTTACATTACAATAATAATAGAATGTAGCCATACCTTTGTTATATGAAGAAGAAATAATCACAATTATTAAATGGTTTAATTTTTATTTTTAAGGTGTCAAATAACTGATATCTGTGAGGATGTTTTTCTTCTCTGTTTTGCAGCTCTCTGCACATGATGCATTAATACTGTCTCAACCAGTTGCTACACCATTGCCGCTCAGGTAGTGATGGCCAATATCTCTAATACTTTTAAGTGTGGAAGCTGAGTAAAACATTGGATTTTAAATTACTCATATTTACTCGAATCTAATGTGTACCTCAATTTTCAAGACAAAAACAAAAAAAAAGGATTTCCTGGTGAATGTCATGCGCAGTGGATAGAGAATGAAAAGAAGGTGCAAGAAGGAAGGGGAGAAAGGACTCTTGAAAGAATAAGCAGAGAGAGGGAAAGAGAATGAAAAGGAGATACAAGAAGGAAGGGGAGGGAAAAAGACAGAGAGAGGGAAAGAGAACAGAAGGAAGGTGCAAGAAAGAAAAGGCAGAGAGAAGGAAGGCTGCTTGGTGGCGGAGCCAAGGCCGGCTCCATTGAGGGGGAAGCCTTGGCAAGCCAGAGCAAAGGATCCCGCCTTTGCTTCCTTCTTCACCACTTTGGGGCCTGTGGGCCGGCTTCGCCTCTTTGTCCTTGGCTCCTGGATCTGTTTGCCAATTTGCCATTCTTGGCAGGAGCCAAGAATACTGGTGCTGCTGCAGATCCTCCTCCTTCTCCAAAATTAACCCTCTTCATCCTTGGTTCCTGGGGCCTGTGGCGAGCCAAGGAGGCTGTTCCTCCTCCTCCATGGGCAACTTCACCTCTTCGTCCTTGGCCTCTGGGGCCTGCGGTAAGTAGCTCCAAGAACCTAGGATGAAGAGGCGAAGGTGACCGGGGCCTGTGTCCTGCGAGGAGTAGCCGGCGAACACGCTGTGACCATCTTCACACTTCCCTTCTTTGCTTGCCGGGGTCACAGTCTCATCAGGGCCGCCTCCCTCGACAGCCACAGGCCCCAAAGCGGAGAAGGAGGAGGCGGCAGCAGAGGTGGCCTCCTTCACCCTGGCTTGCTGGGGCTTCCCCTCACCGGAGCTGGCCTTGGCAAGCAGGGAGAGCCATTATGTGAATCTAATGTGAATCCCAGTTTTTTCTGGGCTTTTGAACCAAAAAGGATGTGCATTAGAATCTCATAAATATGGAATCTTAATGTATAAAAATATTGTTCACTAGATTAAAAGATGAGCGTAGTAATTCTTACGTAACTGAGTCACAGCTAATGCCAGTAAAAGCAATCTCCTGTTCTTTTTGTGTGTCAAAGCCTGCTAAGGCTTTACTGATTTGTTTGAATAAGTGATAACTATTTTCTATCAACACAGCAATGCTTTTTGTGGTGCTGATATTGCTAAGAGAGGAAAACCTTTGAGCACAGTTGAAAAACTCACTGTGTTCAGTAAGTGACATCCTAGGCTTAATGAATTACTTACAGATCAGAAAGCATTTTGCTTGCTTAATGGATTTCCAATATGTTCGAGAGCTGAAGATTTGATAAGTGGTTATTAACTAACACAGCCCTTGATCTGTTGTGTAGTAGCATACCATAAGACTGAGTTCAATATTGCAAGAGCCAGCACAAGGGATCTCTTCTATTTCTGTTTCATTAAACACTGAATATAAGGTGGCAGTGTAGCCATAGTATAATCTCTTTTTACATGTAACAAAGATGATCATAAATGACAAATTTTCCCCCCAAAGTAGAAACAGATGGCATTGAGCTAGATATGCTTCCCGCCCTTTGTTTCTGGTTTTACTATGCTGTTTTATATTGTTGATTTTATTATTTTATATTTTGTGATTATGTATTTTGTTATTGTGTGTTTATTATGTTGTATTATTTTGGGCTTGGCCTCATGTTAGCCACCCTGAGTCCCCTTTAGGGAGATGGTGGCAGGTTATAAATAAAGTGCATTATATTATTACTTAGGGTGCAGCTTTTAAATTGCTTTTAGGGTATTTGTTGTAATGTTTACTTATGTTTTAGTTAACTATGTCTTATTAGATTGTTTTGTTTTTTATCACAATGCTTAATTCTTCGTCATAAGCTCACTGTTATTACTGTGTATTAGTTTGATACGTTTGTACTCACCTGAGGCATTGAATGCTTGCCTTTTTGTGTGTGTAAATCGCTCTGAGTCCCTTTGGGGAGAGAGGATGATTTAGAAATAAAGTTTTATTATTATAATTTCTCTTGTGTCCTTCAATATAACTAGAGAATTGTAGTGTCTCTGCTAGAGACAAGGATAGGATGTGGTTTTATGTGTCAAGGTTCAGCATGCTGTTCTTTATCGTTAACTGTTGTTATTATGAATAATGCATGGTGCAGTCCTGAGCATTCTGATCTCATTCTAGTGGAGCAAACTTCAGCACTCTGCTAATGAATCTTGGACCAGAAAACTCTGCCACTTTGCTCTTATTTGTGTTACTGGAGGGCAAGATCCTGCTGCATTCTCTCCGTCCGGCTGTGCTGACTGGTGTAGCCGAGGCTGTGGCTGCTGTAAGTATATTGTGTTCTTAGTTCTGTTTGCACAGATTGTACCAGGCCTTTTTTTTTATTTCAGTAAGCAGAACCATTCTAGTCCTGTATCAAGTTTTGTGTAGGCTACAGCATTTGGATGGTAAAAAAAAGTTTTTGCAAGTATTTTTACTCGGCAATGTGCTTGGTTTTGTTAAGCAACTTTGTGCCTTTCAGATGTTTTGGACTACAGATCTCACCAGCTTCAAGTAGCATGATTGGGTTGGAAGCTATAGTCTAAAATATCCAAATGATGCAGGGTCAAATCTCTTATATGAAGTTATTATATGTCCCTTTACATTGTGTAGGTGAAGCTTTTATTTTGTATTGTTTTCTTAAACCATTAATATAGTACATGGGTGGGAATCCTATAGTGCTCTAGATTATATCGATTGACTTTTTTACCATTGTATAACATGGCTAAGACAACTGGGACTTGCCGTTCAGCGATGTTCAAAGGATCAACCAATCTAAGCAAATGGCATAAATCAGTATGCATATGAGGGAAATAAGTAAAGAGCCAGTTGGGATATTTTTTACTATTATTACTGGGCTAAAGCACATTTGCTCCAATTTGTTTCTCTAAAAGACATAATAGCTTGATTAATTAGTGGAATTGTACTGGGCCAGCAAACAGCAATATATGTTTAACACTTGGTTAAGCTCTTAAAGGAGCAATGTATCAGAGCAATTGCTGGTTTTTTCCTTTGTGCAGATTCTTGAGGTGGGGATAACACATTTTGAACATTTGCAAAAATGAGTAGTAACCAAATTGTACTTTAAGGCTAATTTCAAATACATCCTTTTGAGGTGGGGCAGGGAATTTATTATCTTTTTGTTTCTCTTTACAATAATGCATGACCCCTTCTATTTCATAGCATTTAAAACATTCCACACTACTAGTTTATGAACTGAATATCACATTTAAAATGGGGATAGTAAGGTTTATATATCCACAGATATATAAACCTCATTCGCCTAGTTTCCAATAGACCTCACAACCTTTGAGGATGCCTGCCATAGATGTGGGCAAAACATCAGGAGAGAATGCTTCTAGAACATGGCCATACAGCCCGGAAAACTCATGGCAACCCAATGTCAGATTCCTTTGTTATACCTGATGTTTTATCTTAGTAACTTCTTGATGATGGTTAAAGTTATGGTTGGCACTTTGTACACTAGGTATAATGAAATATGTGCAATTCAAACAAACATGCCAATAAAAATAATATAATATATTCTAAAAATAAAAACAGGTTCCAAAACCTTTGGCAGCCTCCTGTAACTTTTACTGTTTGTGTGTATGACACGAAATAATAGTAAACCATTTTTTCTAATTCTTTGAAGTGTTTATCTTTAGATGAGCAATCACACACTTGCTCCCTTTACGCAAAAGTGAAAGCTGACTTGAAGGATTTACTGAATACTATTCAGATTAACATTTTTGAACTTCAACAGCTTAAACAGGCTAAAATAGTATTGCTTGATTCTGAAATGACGTCCTCCTTTATTTCAATAATAGACCTTCAGAAGCACCGATGACTTGATTGTTATGTATTTTCCACCTGATGTTCCACATTTATTAGCATTGATTGATGTTACAGAGTTGCTGTTGACTTTTTAATACATGAGTTTCATTTCATTTTTCCTTCAGATGATCTTTCCATTTCAATGGCAATGTCCTTACATCCCCCTCTGTCCTTTGTCTCTGGCAACGGTGCTCAGTGCTCCTGTCCCATTTATTGTTGGAGTTGATTCACGGTACTTTGATCTGTATGATCCACCACAGGATGTTGTTTGCATTGACTTAGACACAAATATGGTTTACATGTAAGTGTGTTTATTTTTAGTTTTTGTTTATATCCTTTGTCTTTGTGTATATGTGTTTTCAGGATTTAATGTAAATTTTGAATGTATTTATTTTATTTCTTTTATCCAGTCCTTGCAACTCAAAGTAGATCAAACATCAAATAGATTTGTTTAACTGTTCCCATTTGTACATTGGACTGCTCTGTTTTGTGTGTGTTTTGTTCTTGTTTCCATTTCTGTACCGTAATCAGTTCAGCCCCTTGCATCATCATGCCAGGAGTTTGGGAAGTAGCTTCTCATATGGCACAGCATACTGCTTTCAAATGTTACAGCAGGAAAGAGGGACTTTTAGGTGTGTGTGCGTAGGAGAAAGATTGTGAAAGCTCCTTTAGATCTTAGACCTATAAACGGGAACAATTAGGCACTAGAGAAGTTGTGATTCGAATGAAAAGCTGACCCTTGGCCATATCAGGCATAATGGAAAGGCATTGTAGTATTTCCCAATGAAAGGAGGAAACGTAGGTGTGAAATTGTAAGGAAAGGATACATTTTAGTATTCAGTCTCTTATCTCACTGATTACATAGTTCCTTAAATAACTGTAACTGGAAAACTATTTTTACATACTTTCTTCCTTTTTATTTTGATGTTCTCGGGGTTGATACAATGTGGTCTTTGTTTTCTGTGCTGGGTGAATATATGGTGATCTGGAAATGGAGGAATTGTCTGCAGTTCATGTAGTTCAGAAATCTTGTCGGAGTACATTGTTAGTAGGCTGTAGACTTGTTGGGTCTCAGATGCCTGGGAAGATGGAGATTGATCCAGATGGCTTTACTGATGGCTCTTGGGAAGTCTGGGCAGTCTCTGGAATGGAGAATTGTCTTGAGAAGTGGGCACAATCATCCTCTCTCACAGTCCAACCAGTTTTCTGATTTTCCAAAGAGTTGGGGACAACAATCGAATGGATGTAAGGTGGTATCTAGAGTTCCACAGCTTCTCCAAAGACCTGGTCAGTGACAATGTTGTCATTAAAAATGTTTCTGCTGCCATTGAATCTTTGGAGGCCAAGCACTGAAGCCATTTCAAATTGTTAGAAGTCTTTTACATGCTGGTCTATAAGAGGAGAGTCCAACCAGCTAGACCTTTCGCTGTGAACAAATTGCTTGATACTTTGCAGATATAATCACTCTGATTTGGATACTGCAATTAATACTGATCCATTGGATGTAACTTTATCATCTGCTTGTCAGTGATCATGGATACTTTTCAGTTCATACACCCTGATGAAATAAACAGGATTCTTGGAGCTTTGAGAGTCACTACATGTGTATTTAAACCCTTGGTAGCCTTGACGAGCAACCTATAATGGGAACTGGATGAGGAGTGTGTTGTTTTGGTTTGGGTGGACTTCTCAGTGACTCTCAATCCTATCACTTCTGGGCCATCATTCTGGGATGGTTTACATTGGCTCCATTCCTTCCTGGAGGAGCCAACAGAAAATGTGGCGATGAGGGACTCCTGGTCAGGTTTTTGGTTTTTTACCTGTGGCCTCCCTCAGGATTTAGTCCCTACCCCCACCCCTTTACTTTTGACATATATGTGAAAGCTCTGGGATAGGTCATTCTGAGTTTTGTGTTCCCCTTATGTTGATGGCACTTATATTTATTACTCTTTTACACCTAATCCAAGGAAACTGTCTTGATTCTAAACTCTTCCTATCATTATTAATGGACTAGATGAGGATGCACAAAATGAAACTTAATCCAGATAAAACAGAGGCACTTCTTGTGAATCCAAAAGCAGATCAGAGAATAAGGATTCAGTCTGTGCTGGAGAACATTACAGTCCCCCTGAACTTGCAAGTTTGATGCTTTGGTATGCTATTAGATTTAGCCTCTGGTCCTGAGTACAAGTTACGCATCCAGCCATTTCTTTTTAAAAAACCCATGGTTTTTCCACAATCTACATAATCAATGGTTTTGCTATAATCGATAAAGCACAAGCTGATTAAAAAAAATATTTAGTGTGTTCCATTATACATGGTATGTTGCAATACTTTTTCATCCTTTCAGTTTGATATCTAGTAAAAATCTTTCTTATAGAGGAGTGGATCTCTACTTTTGGACTTACAGGTATTTTGGACTTCAACTTCCAGACACCCCAGCCAGCTTACCAGCTGTTACGAATTGTGGGAGTTGAAGTCCAAAACACCTGGAGGCCCAAAGGTTGGAAACCACTGTTACAGAGTTTTAAAGCATCACATTATTTACATGGTAAATTAATACAGTGGTCCTATTTTTACTGCAATCTCTTATGACCCCTTTCTTGGGGATTGGAATATTTATTGAGTGTTTCCAACCTATAGATCATTCTTTTGTTTTAGAACCAGAGTAGATTCTGTCTCTGTAGATTGAAGCATCTATATTGGCATGCCATCTGTTCCTGGTGATTTATTTATCCCAAGTGCTTACAACATAATAGAACATAATAGAACATAATACAACATAATAGAATTAGGCCATACTTTGTTTAAAAATGTGTCCCTCTAAATGTTTTTGATAACCATTATTTCCTATTCTCTTCCCATTGCTCCCTTTCAACATTGAAAGAAGCAAGGGAGGGAGTTTATGGAGCAAGTGGTTGTTCTTGATCTCACTTCAAGTAACACATGTACCAAGACATTCTGAATTTGTCTGAACTTGTGTGCAAGAGATGTGATGTGATTACCTCCCATGGGATGGGAGATACCATGGCCAAATGATGCAAGGTTACCTCTTTCTGCATTTGTGATAGAGGGGATTTGTCAATAGTCTGAGATCTGCTCCCACTATTGCTCCAGCTAGAGTTCAGTGATCAAAATAAAAAGTGTACTGACTCTAATCCCCTCTTTAAAGGTTTTCTATAGTGGAATATGGAACAGCAAGATCAATTAGAACTATTAGGGCTCTGCAGTATGGACAGAAAGCTTGGCTAGGTTGCTTGATATAAACATGGGGAGCCTGCCAAAGTTAGCATGTGTGTTTTTAGTTTCATATTGTTTAATTGTCCTTCTACAACATCAACATGAGGTTTTCCTCTCTCCTGTGTTTGGCTTACTTCCTTTCTTTGTGTCAGGTTTTCCTATAATGACAGGAGAAAAGGGAGGAGGGTAACGATACCATTGTGGGACAAGAAATGGTAGTTACACCAAGCATGCAATACCTGTAAATGCTTTTTGCTTTGCTTTTATACTTTGTCATCACTTGAAAGACCAATAGTCTAAATTTGCCTAAGTAAGTATGATATATTTCAAATCTTTCCACTTAGCAAAAGTTGATTTGGTGTGAGCATTAATGCTTAGAAGAATCATGGATTTATGCTAGGTTGCTTTTCAGTTCCTTTACCTTCTGACTCAAGGGGCAACCTTTGTGGCAAGACTCTAGTATATTTCCTAAGGGTGGCTCTAAAAACTTACTTTTTTGTTTATCCAGAGTACCAGTAAGTGACATCCATTCAGTGTTAAATGATGTCTTGAGACAGCATTGGGGCAGTTTCCTATGAAAGGCAAAATGAATTTTTCTTTCCATGGATAAAGTAAACCCAACTTTGAGATCTATAGATAGATTTTCAAAAAAAATTAATAATCAATGGATTGTGCTCTGAATACATGGCACACATACAACATTGTTCTTGATATGATCTCTCTTTCTTATTACATTGTTGTGACATAATGTGGTTTGTGTGATTTTAATATGTTAGGGCTGCAAATGTCTGCAGTGTACATCTGCCTATGTATGTATGTATGTATGTTTATTTATTTAGAACATTTGTATCCCGTCCTATTCTCGACCTCCAAAGAGGGACTGAGGGCGGCTTATGTAGTATGTAGTAAAGTGTGGTCACCTAAAATGCATATAATACATATTCTGGTGTAATAGAGGCTCATCACTTTAGGAAGTATCCTTTTTATGTTAAAATTATTGCTAAGATGCAGTTGGATTGAAGAAGACCTGCACTTCACAGAAAAACAAAGCACTGTCACAGTCATGATACAGAGATAAGAGAGTCTTCTGTATTGAGTGCTAGTCTGTGTTATAGCATAGTGGTGGAAGCATTACAGGCTGCCAAAACATTATTGAATAGCTTTCATTCATCAGTGATTCCATTCATTGTCTGCCTTCAGTTGCTTGCAGTCTATTAGAAGAATTGACAATGAGGAGAAACTCTTAGTTCATGGATCTGATTGGACTGGAAGGTCAGAGTTTAGCATGAATGATTTCTGTTTTTACTGAGAAGGAGGTTTCTTATAAGTTCGTTGTACAGTTACCTTAAATAGGTTGCTCGGGAAAAGCAGCAGTTCACATACCTGCCTTGACATGTTTTTGTTATCTTCTTCTTCCCTACCCCTTCCAAATCTTGTTTGACTCATGAATTTCCTGTTCTTTACCTGTTCAACAGGGAAGTGTTTGCTCTCTCGACTGGAAATTTTAGTTCTAGATTCTCTCAGAAACTTCTGAAAATTTGCAGATAGCAGTACAACAAATACATATTGGTAGATAACATTCAGTTGGAGTAGTTACTGAAAACCATGCTATTATACTCATTTTTTTAAAAATTAACTATGCCAGTGCTTCTTAACAATATTAAAGTTATCATTGCATATATTGGAATAAGGCAAGATAGACACTGGCCAATACTGAGAGGAGAGATAAATCCCTTGAATGCCATGCTATATTCATTGTTGGGAAAGTATTTCCCCTGATTATAGGGAGAGAAGCTTAAAGTTAACTTGCCTCTGATTGGGTTGCTGTGAGTTTTCCATTCTGTATGGCCATGTTCCAAAAGTATTCTCTCCTAACATTTGGCCCACATCTGTGGCAGGCATCCTCAGAGGTTGTGAGGTCAGCTGGAAACTAGGCAAGTGAGGTTTATATATCTGTGAAATGTACAGGGTGGGAGTAAGAACGCATGTGTGTTTGAGGCAAGTGTGAATGTTGCCATTGGCCACCTTGATTAGCATTTAATGATCTTGTAGTTTCAAAGCTTGGCTGGTTGCTGCCTGGAGGATCCATTGTTGGGAGGTGTTAGCTGGCCCTGATTGGTTCTTGTCTGGATTTCCCCTGTTAACATCTTCCAACAAAGGATCCCCAAACAGCAAACAGCCAGGCTTTGAAGCTACAAGGCCATTAAATGCTAATCAAAGTAGCCAATTGCAATATTCACACTTGTCTCAAGCAGACAAGAGTTCTTTCTCCCACCTTGGGCATTCCACAGATATATAAACCTCACTTGCTTAATTTCCCAACTGACCTCACAACCTCTGAGGATGCTTGCCATAGTTGTGGGTGAAACGTCAGGAGGTAATGCTTCTGGACATGGCCATACAGCTTGGAAAATTCACAGCAACCCAGTGATTCAGGCCATGAAAGCCTTCGACAACACATTGCCTCTGCTTGTTGCTCCCATTTAAGAAATTAGGAGCATATTTCAGCGCCTGGCCTTTCTAAACAGGAAATGGTTTATTTTAAGTCCATTTAATCAGTTTGCCATGTCAACTCCATAAGATTTGCACCGTGTGGTAAACGTTTAGCTGTTGTTGATTATAGGTAATATATATCTTTAAATAATGGAAATGATAATTTATGGAAGATTTCAAGTCTATTAGCTGTTGAGCTACTTAACATCTTGTCGAAAGCAGGGTTCATAAAGATACATGATGCCTAATACAATATTGTTTCTTGATGGAGGGAACTGTAGTCATTTACTCAGATATTTGTAATTTCCTTTCTTACTATTAAAATGTGTATTTTCTCAAGTGCAAAATTGAATAGGCCAGGCTCTACAAGTGAATATACCTCTTTGTATATTTTGTGTTATTCATTGTACCACAGAACTGTAAATGGAAGTCTTGATACACAGATTTCCTTTTTGCTAATCCATTTTTCTCCCGTAATGGTCTCTGTACATCATACATAGGATCTGTGATTGTACAGAACTTTCCGTTGAAACCTTTTTATGAGCTTACTATTTCTCCCCAGAAGCCTGTGGCCTTCTGGCCTCTTTTAAAAACTTGTTTCTCAATGGAAAGTTCCTCTATTTGACAAACATGATAAATGCCTAACGAGTTGTTGGTGGGACTACCATGAAATTTTAATTTTCTAGAAGGTTCTGACAGACTGATCTGTACAAATGTATATCCCAAATGTGTGAATGCACCAAAGACCATGAAAAGTATATCAGTTACATAGGTAGCAACTTGTCTTTATGTACTGTGCTTCTGATTTGTGTTACAATGTAGTTTCATTTCACTTAAGCACTGCAGACATATGCTCTGTGTGCCAAGGATAAAGAATATGCGGACTATATTATATCAGTCTGTTAATTACTCATAGATGAGCAGTGCCAGCATGGATATTATTAATTAAATGAAACATGTAAATGAGTGAGGTGTAATGCTCACAGTTTAGCTACAGCAGTTACTTCAACAGTTCACTTTTTCTCGCTTGGCTGTGTTTTTGGTAGCTGGAATTGCTGCAGACAAATTGGAATGCCGTGTGCTGTTGTTATGCATGCAGTTCAACCTCTCAAATGCAATCACTTCTCTGGTGCTTGGCTATTTTCCCTCTCAACTATTCCTATATTTACCCATATAATGGGATTTGTTTGAAATGGTAACATCTTGCTATGTTGGGGCATGTTTGTTAATGTATTATTTATTTCCAAGATAGAGATTGAAACAGTTTTTTAAATTTGTGAATGGCAGTACATTTCCAGTATGTGAGCATCTCATTTAAAACAAATCTGATCCATGGAAATGTGTACTTTCTAAGTTTGATTACATTTCATAAAACTGTACATGCAGATCTATCACTGCATTGAGCACATTTTCCAGTACATTTATTAGGTGTTCAAGGAATGGAAATAATTGGATGAAAAATTATAAAATTGAAATGGAAATGAAATGATTGTGTATTTAAGACCAGGCCTGCACAGCTTGTGAGCAGTGAGGGGCCAAAATTAGATAGCTAAGCCTCTTGGGGTCGCAAATAAGTTTTTAGCACCTCACTTTCCGAGTCAGGTATAAATTAATGATTAATTAGGACAATTGTCGTGTTTCTTCAAATAGTTCCTTGTCATAATTTATTAAAAGGGGATTTGCATTTGTCTTCCTCTGAGACAGTGGGATTTGCCTGAAGTCACCCTGTGGGTTCAGAGCCATAGTTGGAGGTTCAGATCGCTACACCATGCTTTCTGAATTCTGATTTCCTTCCTTTTCTTTTTGCTACTTATATTTTTCTCCCTTTCTTATTGTTCTTCCTTCTGTTTCCTACCTAGCTTTCTTCCTTTCTCCCCTCCTCCCTCCCTTCATCCCTCTCTTTTTCTTCCCCTCCCCCTTTTTCCTTCCTTCCCTCCTTTCTTCTCCCTCTCTCCTTTCCCTCTTTCCTGGGGGCGGGCAGGAGAGGGAAAGCAGTAATGACCACAGCAAGCATCAGAAACAGCATGGACTATGTTTAACACATCTAACTGCACTTGAGTAAGTCAGGGTTTTTTCTGGAACTGTTGTCTTAATTAATAGGTAGAAAATGGATTTTAAAAATGCAGCATTGAAATATGTGCCAGGTACCTCACAGTATTAGGATACTGTCATAATTGAACCTACAGAAAAGTCCGCATAATGAGATTTGATCAGATTTCAGTTGCTTTGTATTGAATTAGCAGCTATTAGACTTTACAACAGAAAGAAAATGTTCTTAATATGAGATGGGAGCTTTTGAATTTTATTGCTTGCTTTATGAATGAAGCAATTCCTTTCCTATCTTGAAACTTTTCCCAATTTTGATTTGGTATGTACTTGTCTCTATCACATAGCTCTGATGACAAGAAGACCATGAATTGGAAACAACTTCCTAAGAAACCATGCAAAAACCTTCTCAGCACCTTAAAGAAACTGCATCCACAACTGGCTTTAGGTAAGGCATGGGAGAGGATGAAAAGATGAGCTAAGCAACAGAAGAAAATTACAATGTTGAGAAGACTTCGACACTTAAGGATTTGCTTCCTCATAACTTAGTTTGAAAGTCTTTCCATTGTAAAAACTGTTTATTGTGAAACAGCTGGTAATTTGAGCACTTAAAAGTGCTCTCCTTGTAATTCCTCTTTTTTTGTGCTGTTGCCCTCTTTCTTCTGTATAGGGTAGTATCAAATTAATTCATCTGATGGCAGAACAACTTCCATCAGCAGACAAGGCTGATTCTAACTCCACATATAGCACCAAAATTAGCCTCAGGTGTTTGGAAAATCTTTAGGAACATCAGAGTCACTCTTTCTGTGATCCTTTCCCTTTAGTCTGTAGAGATCTGGGTTTAAAGAAAGGGCTTAAGATACCACTCTTTCTGCGATCCTTTCCCTTTAGTCTGTAGAGGAGATCTGGGTTTAATGTTTCGTTAAAGCTGTTTCTACTCTAGAGGAGGTGCACGTGCTTTCTCCCTGCACACAGCTTTTCAAGGCATTTCAAGGAGGCTTCCCACTTCCCAAGGAAGGAAGAACTTCCCTGGGCTTCCTTTTTAAAAAGGCCCTCTCATTTCTCTTGATTTGCACTGCAGGCCCTGGCTGCAGTTGTGCCTCCCCCCCCCCCCCCCCCCACCACACACACCTTTCTGTTTCTACTTTCTACTCTAGAGGAAAGGTAACTAGGTGGCAGTAGTTTTCTGAGAATGAGACTTTTCTTTTTGTTTGCTGGGTTTGCTGCTATTAATAATTATTATGTTTTAGAAGTATTTTCTGAAGGAGAGGGAAGAGAAAAAGAAGCTAAAAGGGTGACTCTCAAAGCTCCCAAACACGTGCACTAAATAAAAAAGAATCAAGAAAATAAAGGAAAATCAAATAGATTCAAGAGAGAGGCCAAGCCCCAGAAGCCAAGCCAAAAAATACATTAAAACCAGGACGCAACTGTGATATTGAATGGGGAGTAGGAGCCGTGATCAGCCACCACGTGATCCCATTACAGATGGGAAAATGTGATGGCTGGCCCTTGCTGTTATGGCCATCCAGCCAAGCCAAACAAGCCAAGCCAATTCATGCATAAGCCTAATATCAGTAACCAGATAGGCATAGCAAACTCATTTCTTTCAGCTTTGCCGGGTATGCTGATAAAGGATATTGCAAAATAGTTTGAGATGGGTGACATCTAATATTTAATTCAGTTCATAGTCATAGAAAAAAGAAAAAGTAGATTTCAATTTGTGTAAACCATACTGTTCAGATTTTTCAAATATTACTTGAGGATAAAGTTTTTCAAGTTTTTCTTGGATAATTGTATTTTTGTGTGGAGGAGATGAATTCAGCTTGTCTGCTTGTTCCCTTTTCACCAGTTCACAGAAAGGCCCAAGAGGGCTCTGCAGTCGAGATGACTCCTATAGAAGCAGACTTCTCTTGGCAGAAAAAGATGACACAATTTGAAATGGAAATTCAGGAAGCCTTTCTACGTTTCATGGCATCTATTTTAAAGGGCTACAGAACGTTCCTTAAACCAATCACACAGGCACCTTCAAATAAAGCCACTGCTGCAGATTCCTTGTTTGACCTTCAAGGTAAGTCTGCGAGATCATTACATGAAATCGAATTAGTATGATCATGTTATGCTTTTTTAAATACCATTTGGTATTATATTGGAGGCAGGTATTCTTTCAGCAGTATTGCTCACACCTTTTCAGAAAGCCCTTTGGAAGCAGTCAAACCATCTCTGTTGCACCTTGTTTACCTTGTGTACTATTATGCCAAATATCAGTAGTTTGATAACTGAAGAAAAGTTGGGTTTGGAGTTGGAGTTGGAGTTTTGCAAGGTCTTTAGCTTTCCCTGTTGTAATTCCATAGCACTGAGCAATGTAAATCTACGGTGTAAATTCAACCCAAGTCTTTTTCCTGAGACGCGTGTAGTAAAGTGCGTAGGAATAGACTTAAAGAATGTAAAATGACTAAAATATTTAATTAACTACACTAACAAGATTATTCTATAGTATTTCTCTTTGCAATTCCAATATCCCCTTCTATGAGTACGATTATTTTAGTGTTTATTTAAAATGTTTTTTTCTCTTTGTTGGCTTGTGCATGAGGTACCAAGTATTTTAAGTGTGACTAGGTTTGGAAATTAAGAACCACAGTAAAAATGGAATACAGATAAAAGCGTTTTATCTGCAGCAAATATTTTCAGCAATTGTGTTGTATGTTTTATCCAGGATTTTTAAAAAGTCGAGACCGTGCATACACAAAATTCTACACAGTCTTAACAAGAACACAAATATTTAGCCGCTTCATAGAAGAATGCAGCTTTGTGAGTGACAAAGATACTGGCTTGGCATTTTTTGATGACTGTGTTGAAAAGGTAATGATTCTTTCTTCTTTCTAAGTAAATTCGATAGTGTAAGACTGTAACTCTTAAGTAAATACTTCCTATGTGTCTTCTTATTTGCTGTTGTACACTAGGGGTCCCCAAACTTTTTAAGCAGACGTTCATGGTCCCTCAAACTGTTGGACAGCCAGACTATAGTTTGAAAAACACTTAAACAAATTCCTATGTACACCCCACATATCTTATTTATAACAAAAACATGAAAGAACAATACAATATTTAAAATTAAGAACAATTTTAACCAACATAAAATTACAATTATCTCAATAGGAATTCTGGGTCTACTTTTGGCTGATGAGATAGTCAAGTTAAATCGAATCGTCGTTGTGTGCCTTCAAGGCTTTTCAGGTTTTGGGCCACCTTAAGTCTAACGTTTAGTGCGAGGGCCAGATAAATGACCTTTGTAGACCACATTGGCTCGAGAGCCTTAGTTTGTGGACCATTGTAGAAGAATTAAATTCTGTCTCCTAAAGCTGATCTGGTTGATTTCTTCGGTTAATGAATAGAAAATGCTGTTAGACCCCTTCGATTACATATGGGTATTGCTAGTTATAAATATAATATCCCAGTTTTACAAAGCATGTGTTTTAGAATAAATTGGACCAGAATAACAGTAACTTGCATGTGGAACTTGTGCTACCTGATTTGATGGTGTATCTACTGCAGACATTGCTCATTTGGTGTGATAGGAAACAGAACACCAATTGGGAACCAGAAGAGGAGGGAAATTCTGCAAATAGAAAAATAAAAAAAGTGTGACCATGACAGTAAATAGTATTGTGGAAAACATACAAAATGGCAGACTAGGCAATTCAATACATAGGCACACCTCAGTCAACAAAGCCTCTAACAAGGAAGCTACTTTTTACAGAACTTTTTAATATGAGCTCAGTTCCCTTTTTTTATTTTCTTCAGCCTAGCTGGAAGTTTTACAACTTTCAGGTGCGTATGTAGAAATGTCCCATCAGGACTTCTGTCTGACAAGGAAAATGGGAACAGTATTAATTATGTACTGGTAAATTGATTTTTACTAATTTTAAAAATGATTCTTATTTTATTTTTCATTCCTTTTCTAGCTTTTTCCTGAGAAAGGATCAGAAAAAGGAGATAAGGTATGTAATTACTTCTGCTTCAGATATCTAAAGTGTTTGGTAGTTAAAGCTGATATGGTAATAAAATGGATGTGAAAACCACGGAATATTTGATAAGTTGGTTCCTTTCATCTGACATTTGCAATTCTTATTGCAAATGTCATCTTCATGACAGTCATCTTCATGACAGGCAGAGCACATGGTTGGCAGGTTTTAGGGCACATCTGTTGAATTAATGCAGTTTGACACTGCTTTAACTGCCATGTCTCAGTGCTGTGGAATCATGGCTGTTGTAGTGCGGGGAGTCATCAGCGCTGTTTGGCAGAGAAGGCTAAAGACTTTGTGAAACTACAACTCCCAAGATCCCATAACTTTGAACCATGGTAGTTAAAGTGATTTCAAACTATATTAATTCTACTGTGTAGATGTACCCATAGGGGCTAAGGGACTGAACTGTTGTTTTTACTTAAAATGGGAATATGCTGTATTTGCAGGTTGATGTCGACTCTGCAGAGGATACCCGGTTGATTGAGCTTGATGAATCACAAAAGAGTGAACACACAGTGTTTATAATGCCACCAGAGCCACCACCTGAAGACGAACAAGAGAGGTTGCCAAAATACAGGTATTTTCTAATCTATGAGTAACTGTGATAGGACTGAGGACCACTTTTCGATTCAATTTTGTTCACCTACATTGATTTCTCTTAGAAATATAGTTGACAATTTCACAAGAAACAGGCCCCTCTTTTATGATGAGGGAATGGGGTTGAGAGGTCTTGGGCTAAATATATTGTGCTGTGACAAATGGAAACCTGGCTTACAGATTTTTGATTTTGTCTCTCTTTTCCAGCTATAAAACCTTCCCTAGACTTGAGCTAAAGCTCTTTGACAGACCACGGGAGCTCAGGCTTTCATTCAGGAGGCACCCAGTTGGAGGCAACATTTTGAATAGTCCAGCGCTCATGGCCAAGAGAACAAAACAGGTTTTTTTTAATGCCTTATGATTAAATATACATATTCAGACGCATTATCTCTTTTAGCCAATCAACCTAATGTTACAGGCTGTTTTTTTCTGTTGATTGCGAGCTGCTCTTGGAGCCTTTTTGACTAAAGATAAAAAGGCTCTTAGAAGAATTATTTACATGCCTTAACAGCCTTATCCGTTAACATAACAGGAAGCCTGTATTATTTATAGTAAGTTATATATCCAAGACTAAGAATTAGATCTTGAAGATTGGCATGCATGAAAGCTGTGTGTCCTATCTTCCATGTTGCATATTGTTAAAGGCATGTGACATGCCAACTGATCACTGTTAAGATTTCACACCCTTTTTTGTGTTTTTGCAGGAGATAAAAGCAGCCCACAAATTAGCCAAGAGATACTACACCAGCCCTCCGCAGTGGGCCAAATGCCTCTTCAGCCATTGTTACAGCTTATGGTTCATTTGTCTCCCAGCCTATGTTAGAGTATCTCATCCAAAGGTCAAAGCTTTACAGCAAGCCTATGATATTCTTATCAAAATGAAGAAAACTGAGGTAGAACCACTGGATGAAGTAAGTTCGATAGATATGGGTATATATTTAATCCGTACATCATTTTTGTGCTGCTGTTTTCTTCTGAAAAATATTCGGGCTTCCTCAGCTGTCAACTGAATGCTCCTTAGGTTACTTTTTGATCTGAACAAGGCAGACAGATAATACAAGCAGTCTCTGAGTTACAAACATCTGACTTACAAATGACTCATAATTAAGAACAGGTTGAGACGACAAGGGGAAAATGTGTATCAGTTGAAGCTCTCTCACCAATCCTTGTTTCCACAAGTCAAATTTTTCAAAATCCAGTTATCACAGGGGCAGAAAGCAAGTCGAAATCTTCTGAATATTGCCAAACAAAACACCACAGGGGTGTTAACCCTTCCATATAGAATCATAGAATCAAAGAGTTGGAAGAGACCTCATGGGCCATCCAGTCCAACCCCCTGCCAAGAAGCAGGAATATTGTTTTCTAAAGCAGACAGATAGATAGATAGGCTGGAGTAACACTTTAAAAATGCACCTGTTCTAATTTACAAGCAAATTCAACTTAAGAACAAACCTACAGAACCTATCTTGTTCGTAACTTGGGGACTGCCTGTAGTGTCTTAAATAATCAAGCCAGAAAATACTTTTGTGACTTAAAACCTTGTCTTACTCTGCCAGATGGAAGAAAAAAATGGTAAATCACTGTGTTTCTCCGAAAATAAGACATACCCATAAAATAAGCCATATAAGGAAATGCAAGAACTTTCCTCAGTGGTAGCAGAGGCGAGTCTGGACCTCCCTCCCTCTCACTTCCTGCCTCCTCCTCCTCTTCATCCTCCTTTTTCTCCTTCTGTTCTTTCTTCCCCCCAGGCCAGGCCAGGCCAGGCTTCCTCCCCAAGTGAGAGGGAGAGGGAGTGAGTCACCAGCTCCAACAGGGCCACAGTTGGCAGTGCTGCTTCCCTTTGGCCCGTCCCCCAGGAAGCCTCCTTAGTGAAGTGAGGAGCAGGGCACTCTGCTTTAGGTATTGTGTGTCCTCAGGGAGAAGAAGTAAAGCTGTGGCTGCCGTTTTACTCAGCACTATATTTGAATAAATGCAGATTGTTGTACCATACTTAATAAAAATAAGACATCTCCTAGAAATAAGCCATAGTGTTTCTTATTGAGGGAAAATAAATATAAAATGGTGCCTTATTTTAAGGGAAACACGGTACTAATAACAGCTTTTGAGATCTTTTCAAAAAACAACTGAAACAATACTTGTCCTTCACCCATATGGTTTTTGAGTTGGATCATAGTTCATTCTTCTTTCTCATATCTAGGTATTTTCAGCAAACATTAGTTATCTTCCCTCATAAAAATAAAGTCTACCCAATTCTATTGTCAGACAGTGTATCCTGAAAATTTCCTTTCCTTTTCTACACCCATCATGTAAATTTGGGTTCAATCCATTGTGAAGAAGAAAATGGATTGTCTCATATTTTTCTTTGACATTCATCCCAGAAAAAGATTAATAACCAGACTGAAACTACACATTTCTTAGGTTGAAAGAATTCATAAAAGTTGCACTAAGAGTTCAATGCAGAAAAGAGGAACTATTTTGAGTGGCTCATGTTATATATTATCAGTAAATTTTAAAAGCTTGTCCTGAAAGTGTTTGTCTTCTCTTTCACTTGGACTGTAACGAGGAATTCAATAATCTTGGCTGTAATACACCATCAGGGGTTGAACTGGCTCCCTTTCATGCTGAGAGCTTTCCTTTTAAAAATGTGACCTCACCCTGTTTTAAACACAAGAATCAATGTATGTGTATAGAGATACAGACTAAATTTCTCATATATATATATATATATATATATATATATATATATATATATATTCGATGTATGTATATATATCAGGATGTGTGTAGTTCATATTGTCAAATTTGATAAATTGGGAGATAATTGAATAGGGCTGTTGGTGTTGAATCAGTTCTAATGAAGTAATTCTGCCCAAACCAGAAACAGGGCACTGCAAAATTCTCTTAGCCCTACGGTGCTTTTCAAACTGTTCTTTCAGAGTGTTTTAAAAATATGGTCTGAAGAGAATGTTTTACTTTCCTCTTTCAAACAAATATATCATCTTGTTGTCATCTTATAGTACATAAACATTTTTTCTAACCTTCAGTTACTTATGCTGATGGGAGCATAAGTAACTGAAGGTTAGAAAAAATGTTTATGTACTATATGTAGGAGCATATATTTATCCTTTCCCATCTAAGCTAATTATAATATAAATATTGGTAATGTCTGGAAAACCTTATGATAGATTAACCTTAGGATCATCATGAGGCAAAAATGCCTGAAAGGTGTAACTGTTCTTCATGGAGCTATCTTCAGAAAGAGTTATGATGGCTGTCAAATATAATGGCAAAATGTTCTCATCTGGGACAGTTTTGCTCTAATACAGTGGTTCTCAGCCTGTGGGTCTCCAAGTGTTTTGGCCTACAACTCCCAGAAATCCCAGCCAGTTTACCAGCTGTTAGGATTTCTGGAAGTTGAAGGCCAAAACATCTTGGGACCCACAGGTTGAGAACCACTGCTATAATACAATGTACTTGCTGCTCATGGTGATTCTTCACTCATTTGTGTGAACATCTTTTTTTAATGTTGAGTGTCAACAACATTTACTGTATATACTCGAGTATAAGCCGAGCTTTCCAGCCCCCTTTTAGGCTGAACACCACCCCCCCCCGGCATATATTATCGTCTTATACTCATGCATATACGGTATAAGCTTAGGCACCTAATTTTACCACAAAAACTGGAATATCTTATTAACTCGGGCATGAGCCAGGGGTGGGAAATGCAGCAGCTACTGGTAAATTACAAAAATAAAAATGGATACTAATAAAATTACCAGATATACTCGAGTATAAGACAACCCAAATATAACCCAGGGGGAGGGGGATTTTTCAGCCCAAAAATGTGCTGAAAAGCTCAGTTTCTACTCAAGTCTATATGGTATTTGGGTCAGCTTATACTCAAGCATATACGGTACTCCTTATAGATTTGAAATTGTCTGTAATCCTGTGCAGCTGTTGTTATTTTTCTGACTTTATGCATTCACTATGATGGGTCTAAAGAGCTCTGCTTTATCTACTATGCATACTGTCAGATCATCTTTATGTTAATACAAATTAAAACTGGTTTCTGCATTATCCTTTGCAAAATGACTCTTTCTGTGACCTCACTTCACTCCATACTAGTAATTGCCTGTGATTTAGGCTAGATCCCATCTCTCAGTGGGTGACATAGTGCTGAACTCTGGAAATCAGTGTCAGGGAGTCATGTATATGTGCCATAATGTAGTATATCACATTAGTAATACCATCAGTGCTGGAAATGTAGGAACATGTCCAGGTGCTCCACAGCCCAGAGGGCTCCCAGATTATAGTGACAGATTCTTCTGTGTGTAATAAAAAACAAAAAACTTTTTCTGGGGTGAGCACTCCTAAACAGTGAAGAGCTATTAGTGATACTGACATCTTCATTGCTTCAGCCCAGAACACCTCCCAGATTGTGTATAGGACTATACCTTTGCCCTATACGTTGCCATATTAGAGAAATAAACCCTGAAAATAGAAAAAGAAAGAATCCATTGTATCCTAGGGTTTTTTTTTTCTGGAGTCAGCATGTCTATCAATCTATATGCAGAATTCTGAATGAAAAACATAAAAGGGGCATTCTCACCCATTCTTTTGCCTGATTAATGTGTGTATGTGTTGCAGAAGGGGTACTTTTTTCTTTCTTTGGTTAAAGCAAAGAAAACCACACCCATTTGTTTGCTTTTGCTTTCCCTCACAAACTTTTCTTTAGTTATAAAGGATATATTCGGAGCCAGCAAGAGACTGGGTGGCTTGAGAGGAGAGTGAGGTCATTAAGGCACCTTACCCAGGATCCCTTGGATCTTGTAGCATAATAGATGCCATAGTTCTTTTAGGATCTTTTGTCCTAGATACTACAATATTTTCAATGTAGGAGATCATAGCTTCAAACCAGAGGCTGCTTACGGTGTTAAAACCACATTGTGATTTACTGGTTGAGCTTCTCCCTCTACTGGTTACTGAGGTGCACACAATAGAGTATTTTTCCATCTTCTGCAGGCACCCTCACTTCTGATGCGTAAGTTACTTCACATCTACTGAATACATCCTTGTATTTATCTTTATTAGGTTTGCTATAGAGTTGTAATGCTGCTCTGTGGCCTTTGGGGCCATCCTGTTCTGGCTGTGCGGGTTCTTTTTGAAATGAAAAATTCTGGCATACAACCAAATGCAATCACTTATGGTTACTACAACAAGGTAAGCAGACAATGGAAAACAAATCAAGAAAACAGCATTATATTGTAATGATTATTACTCCTGGATGACCTTGGCTGATTCTGCCTTAAACTTATTGTTGTGTGATGCCTGAGGCTAGGCTGACATCAAACACAAGAGTTGAAAAACCTTCCCATGATCTACCAGTAAGTTCTATAGATTATAAGGAGTTCAGATTTGGGAAGCTGTTCCTAAGAAGTGCAGGTTAGCATGAGAAATTTGTGCCTGGGCACAGGAGTGATGTTGTTAATCGTAATAGTAGTAGTAGTAGTAATAATAATACTTTATATCCCGACCTATCTCCCTGTGGGGACTCAGGGCGGTTTCCAACAAATTGTGGCAAACATTCAGTGCCGTACAATACTAAACTATTTCTAAATTATTTTTAATAATCTGAAAGGATATTTATAATATGTATTTTTTTTTACTGTTTTATGATATTGTGTTTTACTGTTATTGTCTGACTCTGGCATTGAAATATTGCCGCCCTGAGTCCCCCTTCCGGGATGAAGAGGGTGTGGTATAAGTTACAATAACTAAATAATAAACAAAGAATGAACTTGCCAAAATCATACCCAACATCCACATCAAAAGAATAATAAAGGCAGCACCAAACATTAGACAATTACATAACTAAGTTACATTTTCACAGTTAAACATTAATAACAGACTGGAAGATAAACACCAATAGATATAAAAAAATTGAAAAAAAAAGCCAATGTAGCCAGAGTGACAAGCCATTTCCATTCCGTAGTATCTAAGTATTGATCTTGTATGCCTCCTCCTCTCTATATGCCTCAATGCAAAAGAAAGTTTTACATTGTTTTTTAAAAGAATAAGGAGGGGGCCATTTTGATCTCCTTTGGGAAGGGAGTTCCAGAGGTGGGGAGGGAACACGAAGAAGGCTCCCTTTCTCATTCCCACCAGCTGTGCTTGGGATGGGGTTGGGACCTAGAGCAGGGCCTCATCTTCTGATTGAAACACCTGACCAGGCCTGTATGTGGAGATGTGGTTAGCCAAATAGTCTGGGCCCAAACCATTAGGGTTTTATAGGCAATGACCAGCACTTTGAATTTCACCTGGAAGCAAACTGGCAGCCAGTAGAGTTGCCGCAACATGGGAATGGTTCTCTCCCTGTGCGGAACCCCAGTTAGTAATCTGGCTGCAAATCTCTGGACCACCTGGAATTTCCGTACTATGTTCAAAGGCATAGAGCACGTTGCATTAATGGCTTGGAGAGAAGTTGCATATCTTAGTTAGATATCCAAATGTGGCACATTAGACGAGGGGTGGCACAGGGTATTTCAATAGGCATAAAATGAGTAAAAGAATTTAATAAGAACCAAAAATAACAGTAGGACTTCTAAAGTGTCCTTTGAAAAAAAATTGGTGCTGTGGCTCAAACTTGCTTAAAAAGCTGTGCTTTTGGTTTTCCGTCTCCGCTTTCTTAAGATATATGGGGACTTGTCAGCATTCATCTTACTTCTCAATAAGCTTATATTGATTTTCCCCACTGTACAAAAAAGCTTGGGGGTCAACTTAATTTGGGGGCTTCCCAATGAAGAGTTCCATTGTTTTGATGTATTACCTTTCTTGTTATTGTTAACTTGGGTTTTGAAAGCTCAGTGTTTGATTAGAAGGTAATTACAATAACATACAAAGAGAATTACCTCTTTCTCCCTTAACTATGTGGAGAAGGGAGACAGAATGAGACAGGCCAAATCCAGTCCATGATTTGGAGATTCCTCATTACTTTTATGGAAGTCTGTTCTTATACAGCATAGGGAATTGATTTGGAGTGGTTATATGTAATTAGTACCCATCTTAGCAGCAGTCTTCATCTCTTGACTCATCCAGTTCAAGTTAGAGTTCCTACATGTGCAACATATAAGCACCCATAGCCTCATTTCAAAGAGGGAACTCCTGTGCACAGTATTGACAGATTTGTATTGGCACTGGAGTCCCAGAGAATGAGTCAGAACTGTGTGTGTTCACTTATAAAATTGATAATTTTTACATTTTGTAAAAACGTGCTTAATAATTTTACTTTTCCAGGCAGTTTTGGAGAGCCCGTGGCCTAGTAGTAACCGGAGTGGTATATTTCTCTGGACAAAGTTGCGGAATGTGGTTCTCAGCATGGTACAATTTAAGCAGTGTCTCAGAAAGTCTGCAGGCAGTTCACATGTTGCTTCAGCACCAGGTAATTCTATCAGATCTAGCTGCTATAGACAGATATCCCATTCCCAAATCACCAATAATTTGCTATTTAAGAGTTTTCAAGTGGTATGGGGGATTTTGTCAGCAATCCAAATGAAATTTTTGAAGGTGTACTGTTGAATATTGAGAAAATAGTGCACAGAATTACCTTTTTTTGCTGCGTGGTGGTATTGTAAGCTTTGACAACTGTCTTTTCGGCATTTACATTTTGTAACCAAGGCTCTGTTGTTTATATCTTCAGCTCCTCGGATGGTGACAGGTGGAAGTGATGGGGACACGGTGAGCCATGGTAGTGTGGATAGTTCTAACGATGCTAACAGTGGGGAGCACACACTCTTCGTCAGAGACTTAGTCAGGCTTGATTCCATTGGTAATCACTCTAGCACAGGTACTAGATACATTGAGTTTCACTAACTTGCACCTTTTCTCTAATATGTTGCTGGCTTTGTTTTCCTGAGTACTGTTCTCTGTCTTTCAAGACTGTATGTACACAGTGATAGGTTGGAAACTGTTATGAAGGAATAGACAATCCTGTGAATATTTGTATTCAGGTTACAATTAATAAAATGGTCAGGAATTAAATGTATTTTTTTAATCCTTTGGTATGTGCATGTATTAAACCATAAATCTTTCACTGGCATTATCCTGTATGTAGTGTGGTGGGCTGCAATATTAGCAGGAAGGGGCAGAGGGAGATGGCAGGTGGTTTTTGTTATTGTTTCATAATAAATGTAGTTTTGTGTTGGCTTGGATTTTGCATCCTTTCACACCACAACAAATTGGTTTTTCAGGGCCAGTGGGTGGATGTAATGCAAATTCTTGTGCAGACATGTAGTCTATCTGATAAGAGTACATCATGCTGTTCAAATTAGAAGTTGGCAAGCAATCTGTTGTTAGGAAATATATTATACTATAACCCTGAATTATAATTGCTTATTTGAGCTTGGCTAAGAGAAAAGCGTGAAAATGACCAAGAGAGAAGTATAGCCAGAATATGGAACACAGTGCTTTAAATGACAATAATTACCTGCTTTAAATGGAATCATGTATTCTGACATCTATTAAGTGGCTGAAGATGAGTTAGCATTGCGTTTTGCATACTTTTTGAATATTGTAAAAATATTTAGCTGTCATCTCACTCAGCCTTTCAAATGATATAGCTTTATACATATATGTATCAGAATTTATTTTAAGACTAACTGAAGCGCTCCTATGCACATCTCCCTCGTGGCCTTAAATGTTTTTCTCCTCCTCCTCTCCTTTCTCTACTAAACTTTCTGACATCTTTTCTTTTTTTAAAGGTTGTAGTCTCCTGTGTAGATGGCTTGCTGTATTTGTCTAGTAGATGACTAAACATTCCTTCTCTGATCTTTGTTGCTCTGCTTCTTGCTCTGTGCTGTCTCTTGGTGCTGCATTTGTCCTTGGCTGTCATGGTGTGGGTTACAGACTTATGTGATGCCAGGCCTTGGAGGCACATGTGCGTTAATTCTGCCTTTGAATGTTAACCACTCCAGGTAATCTCCTCCTTTATCAATGGATTTATTTGTTAATTTGATACATAAGGAGTGGGAGTTGTTATTTCAGTATAAACTTACAAATAATGGGCAGACACTTTTGACATCTATAGAGGGTGTCCTTTGACTGGTTGACGTTAATATCTTACATTGCACCTGTTCAGACGAGCAAAAAGACAGATCTAGTTTGATGTTTAGCAGCCTGAACTAGTAAAGAGTTATGGTTCTTGGGTTTGACTGTCATTCACACTATGTGTATGTAGGGGGTTGAACAAAGGAAACCATAGTGGAAACCCTTTGAGTTGTCTTAAGCTCTGAAAACATTTGGGGGCGGTTAGATTTGGCTACAAGTGATATTCCTCCTTGTGCTGATCTTACAGGAAAATCAGCAGCTCTGTGAGGAACTGAAGATAGTATATAGACAGTAATAGAGGAAACACCTGGAGTGAAGATGCAGCAGAAGTCATTCAGAAGTAGCATGAGCTTGTATGTCACATACAGTCAAGTAACTAACAGTTAAACAACTAATGTCTCTCAGAGAAGAAAAGGGTGCACATTCCCATTTGGTATATAAAATGGAAGTTTTATTCTCTGCCTTTTTCAGAGTCTATACCATCCTACTAAAAATATTGTCTGTAAATCAGAGCTCCGGGATGCATTGTCACTACATTTTGCTGCTGTTCTTTCCCTGTCAAACTTTAGATACTTTCTCTGTGTTATCTCTATGTACTAGGCACTGGCAGTTTTGCTTTCATTTTAAAGAAAAATATAAACTTGCAATATTAAATATATTTCCTATTTATAATTTAAAATATTATTTGTTGACAGCATAGTTTTTGGGAAACCGGCTAAATTGTGCATCGCTTTCTGCAGGTGGTCAGTCTGATCAAGGCTATGGCTCTAAAGATGAACTTATAAAGGAAGATGGGGATAGTGTTCATTCAACAGATCTACTTGTAAAGAAAGAACTTGTCACTAAAGATGGAGATTTAATTGCAGGTAGATTACTTTTGAAGATTTTGTATTTATTTTTGAATGTGTTTTAGTAAATATCAGTGAAGAACCTTATGCTTTTTCCTATTTGTTGAAGGAATGTTGGAATAGATATAGCATGTACCCGATATACTTTAGAATAAGCAGAGTTTTTCAACCCTTTTTTAATATTCGAGTCAAAGTTATTTATCATTTTATTCTATTATTATTATTATTACATTCATTATTTTACTCGATTATTATTACTATTATTACATTTATATTATTTTACTCTATGTTTATTATTTCTTTTATTATTTTACTGTTATTACATTGCCATTATTTTACTCGATTATTATTATCATTATTACATTTATTATTTTGCTGTATTATTATTGGAAGGATACGTCGTAAGCACATTTACATTGAAGAAGGTTAGAATAATGGTTTAATCAGAGTTGGACAGTCTTATCTTAAATTACAGCTTTATGTAAATATTCAAAAACATTTAACCTACTGATGCCTCAATTAATGTAATCTTACTGGTTTCTGTTTTAATTTTAATTTTTAAATTTACCAGTAGCTGCTTCATTTCCCACCCTTGGCTTATACTTGAGTTACTACATTTTCCTAGTTTTTTGTGGTAAAATTAGATGACTCAGCTTATATTCGAGTCGGCTTATACTTGAGTATATACGGTATTCTACACAGCCACTTTGTTAACTTTTCAGTATAGAATATTATATATTACCAGTCTAATGCACCATCAAATCTAATATGCACCTCAATTTTCAAACCCTGAAACCAAACAAAGTATTTGTTGCTGAATGTAATGTAAAGTAGCAAAAAGTGTTCTCTTTGTAATTTTGAACACCAGAGCTTCCACAATGGAAAAGAAAACCATGGGATGCATCTATGCTATAAAATGAAACTACTTGGTTCAATGCTATGGAATCCTGGGGGCTGTAGTTTGACAAGGTCTTGAGCCTCTTCTGCCAAAGAATGTTGATGCCTCACCAAACTACATATCCCAGTATTGCATAGTATTGAAACACGAGAATTAAATGAGAGATGATGTCCCTCCAAGTGCTCCTGAAGCAGTTTCCCATTTTGCTTTCACTCAGCACTAAGTTGCCTTATTAAGAGATGGTGACAACATAATATCATGGGCGGGGGGGGAGGGGGAGAGATTATTCAAATAAGAAAACCACACTGAAAGTCTCTAGGAAGTATGCAAAAAAAACGCCCAAATTATGCCTGTATATACCTTCTGTTAACCATGGTGCTGGTCAGATTTCACTTTCATTTTTAAGCATTTGTATTGTCTTTATGATTTCATGGAAAGGTAGCTTAATCTAAATTGCATTTACAGATATGGTATTGCATTTGCTGTGTGAAATTAGCTTCCATCTCATTTATACAGAAGTTAACTAATCCCACTTCGTTTTTTCTCTTGTAAAATTGAGTAATCCCACCTTGCCTTTTTTTCTTGTAAAGAATTTTGTGGTCCAAGTGAGTCTCTTGAAAAGCAGCATCCTAATGCAGAGACTCACGGTCCAGTAGAAGTGCCACTGCATCCTTCAACCAGCATCGTGAAGATTCCCTCTGGTATTTTTGACAGCACAGGCAGGAGGAGTAGTAGTGGTAAGTAGAGAATACACTTGGCTTGAGGTGGCTCTAACACTGTGTACCAACAGGGCTGCTCGCAACTTCCTTATTCCGAAACGAGAGTAAGACATGTGGTAGCTGAGAGCCCTCCAGAGAGCTCTCAGCTGCTGTGTGCCTTCCTTCTCAATTCTTTCTGCATAAGGATGCAGTGAGCCACCGCGTCTTTATGCCCAGAGGACAGGGAAAATGAAGAAGGCCTGAGGTAAGCACCCAGGGGGCCGCATCTGTCTCCCCGGCCTTAGTTTGCCCATACCTGCCTTATCTAATAATATAATAGCAGCCCTTCACTGCATATGGATGATATGGAACTGTCCAGTTCTGCTTCTCCCAAATGAAAACACCTTACAGTGACATAAGTTCCCAGGAGGATTCCGGCCATTTTATTGTAAGGAAAAGAAACAATGTGGGACCCAAGGGCCACATATTTGCTTTTCCCTTAAAATAATAGTGGCCAGTTTAAACATGCTTTAAAAAAAAACGACTAACAGACATTGTGTGCAGTTTATTAAATTGTTCTTTTTCATTTTAATAGTCATTTATGTTTTTGAGATCCCACTTTTGGAAATGTGTTCTCCTCTACTTTCCATCATTTGGGAGTCTGCTTTATCTGAAGAAATTTCCTGTGCATAACACGCTGCTTTTGTCTTGTGTTTCCTTACTTTTTATGTGAAAGGAACTGTGTGCAGCCCACTGTTAACAACTCAAGATGTGGTTGAAGATACGGTGTTTGATTACAACACTTCTCCCAAGAGAACAAACGAAAAAGGAAAGAAAAGGCAGAAACTTTTTTCAGAAAGGAGTTGCAGCTTTAGCACTGAAAGCAGAGCAGGCATGTTACTGAAGAAAAACAGCTTGGATTTGAATTCCAGTGAAGCTGCGATCCTGATGGGTGCTGATGCAAAGATCCTCACAGCAGCTTTGTCTGTGGCAAAAACATCTTCATCCGATGCAAGCAAATTGCACAGTTTTGACAATGCAGATGGCATACAGTTTTTCTGTGGAACAGATACTGCTAGGACTCGTGTGAATGAACACGTTTGGGAAACAGATTCCAGGTCCTCGCCTGTTCCAGAGGAACCCGAGGAAGGGCAGGAACAGGTCAGGAACAGTCATGACAACAATGCAGTCCAAGAAGAGGGCATGGACTCAAATCATCTTGATGCTGCTAAGTCTAAGCCGGAGAGCCCTGAATCCAAAGAGGCAGCAAATAAAAGAAACAGTTTCTATGGGGTGGCCAAGCCTGTTGAAAGGGAAGATGTTCAAGTGGGTTTGGACCCCTTATCATTGCTGGCAACTGAAGCAGTAGAGCACATCTCTCCCGAGCAAGAAGAAAAAACGATGTCGCCAGTTGTCGCCCGCAATCTGGCAGATGAAATTGAAAGCTACATGAACCTGAAAAGCCCTCTGGGCAGCAAATCGTCCAGCATGGAGTTGCACAGGAAAGTGAGCGACCAAGAGGCAACCTCCCCCGATTCATTGGGACATTCATTAGAGAGGAGGTCGAGCTTGCCTTCAGATTCCCCTCCACCACCTCAAGTTCACCAGGCTGTTCGGAAAAGCCCAGCTGTTTCCAGGTCCAAAACCTTTACCGGAAGGCCAAAGCAGCTAGCTCTTTCACGTGCCCAGAAAGAACGGTCTATTTCCTTATCAGGGCTGAGTCGCTCTTCACCACAGGCTTCATTGGGTGCAGTAGTTACAACTCTGTCAGGCCTGAAGCTAGACCACATTTTATCTGGTCCTAAAATAGACGTCCTAAAGTCTGGCATGAAACAAGCAGCTAATGTAGCCAGCAAGGTGTGGGGAGCCGTGTCTTCAGCATACAACTATTCAGATGAGGAGGTGAGTGGGTTCTGCTTAAAGGAAGTTTCCCAAGAGGCAGATGGTGCCTTGCTTTCAGTCACTTTTTACATCTGGTGTGAGAGGGTGGGTGAGAATGAGCTAGAAATATATCCATCTCACCTATAGCAACAAAGGTAATAACCAGATACTAGGTTTTGTACATGGTTGATGTTGATGAACTCTTGCTTAAATGGATTATTTTCACAAGTGAAGAAAACATTTGAAGCACAAGATTTAATGGGCAACACCCAGTATTGAGATGATGGTATGGTAGTGATCTTGTGGTATCTTTTCTGTTAAATGGGTGGACACTTTCAGATTTCACCCACATTGTACACTTACTAGCTTGGGTACCCAGCATTGCCTGAGTTATTTGGGGGAAAAAAACAACAACATTTTTTTAATTGTACAAAATGCATAAGTTTGTGGGTGAACTACAACTCATATCCTGCCAGGTTAACCCTAAAAAAACTCCATTGGTCCTTAAAGTTTGTTATGTTGGACAAGTTTGCTGTAGATGCGTCCTCAGCGGGGTTCCGTGTGCTCTCTGGCTGTAGGGTAAACTACAACTCCCACTATGGTGAGTTAGTCCCCTCAAACCCTTCCAGTAGGTTGAGTTAGTCATGGAGGTTCTGTGTGCCAGGTTTGCTCCAGGTTCATTATTGGTGGAGGTCACAGTTTCTCAGGTTGTTGGTGAACTACAACTCCCCCAAATCAAGGTGAATTCCCTCAAAGACCTCCAGTATTTTTCCTGGTCATGGGGGCTCTGTGTGCCAAGTTTGGTCCAATTCCATCTTTGGTGGAGTTCAGAGTGCTTGTTGATTACAGGTGAAATCCTAGTACCTACAACTCCAAAATGTCCAGGACAATTCCCCTCAAAACCCACCAGTATTCTAATTTAGGCATGTTGAATATGCATGTCAAGTTTGGTCTAGATCCCTCATTGTTTGGGTTCATAGTGCACTCTGGATGTAGGTGAACTACAATTCCTATAAATCCCTCCAAAGACCTCCAGTATTTTTTGTTACTCATGGGGGTTTTGTGTGCCAAGTTAGTTCCAGGTCCAACTTTGCTGGAGTTTAGAGTGCTCTTACATTGCAGGTGAACTATACATCCAGGCCAGTACCTACCAACTCCTATAAATCATGGTGAATTCTCCCCAAACTTCTCTAGTATGTTCAGTTGCTGATCAGGTCTGATCTGTTTGTTGAGCGCCATAGAAAATAATAGGAAAGGGTTAAGGGAGAGGCAGTGGACAGAGTCATGCAAATTCCACACCAATTGAAAGAGAAGGAAACACTGGGATGTCTGTGGTGGAGGAAATATAAAATCTAAGATGAAATGGTCCCCATATGAAAGCCTTCCCTTGGATGAGGGCAGTATGGTGTTTGTGGAGGACATTGGCAGGGCTCTTGGACATGTTCATGGCGCTCACTATATAACCTGCAATGTAGTTGGAGGGAGGGCCTTTGGTGCCCCCTGAGCTTTGGGAGATATAGCTCTTTGTGGAGGCAGGAGCTTGTCTGTGTAAGTGGACACACATATACATATTTTCACTTTTATTATGTGCATAGATTTATATTTACAAGATCCACATAAACCCTGTTGTCTAGGATCCATAGAACTTTGAAATAAGCCAACCATACAATAAAATAACATACAAAAGCAATACAATAAAAATGAAAAAAGATGAAAATAAGTAAACCCATGATATGCTTATGTTTTTATCTTTTTCCTGAATTTACAATTGGAAAGCAATGCCTTCAATACTTGTTATGTTGTAACTTTCAATCTCGCCATTTCCAGCTTTCTTTTATCCCCCATTCTATGTCATTTGTCATCTGCAGGATTCTTTATATTGGTTCTAATTTGTTTTCTTTTTCTTTTGCTGTTTTGCATTGCATCATACTACTCCTTGTACTCTATCCAATATCAAGCTACTTATTTATTATTCATTGAAAGCATCCTTTCCTGCTTGTGAGTCAAACCTAGGTTGAGCCACTTACAGATATTAATAATAAGGCAGTCCTGGGGAGGAGAAAATGCATTTCAGAAAAAGAAGCAGAATTGGAAAGTGGAAAGACGGAGAATAAACTTAGGTGTTTGAACTTAGTTATAATTTGTGTAAGATGTTCTTTCTGATAAGGACAAAGGGAGCTCCCTGCAGCTATTCTTCATCTTGCTGATGTAGTGTGCCAGGTGAACTCCCCATTTGGAAGTAGCAACTGCATCCTTCCTGTCGCCTCTTGTGTATACTGGTTGATGGATAATCCTAATGTCCCGTGTCTTTGTGATTATGGGGCTGGTTTCAGTTGAAGTTGAACATATTTTCTTGTGGAGAGGCAATTCAATCTCTTTCCAGGTGTTTCTCATTGATGGATGTGTATGTCTTTACCTTTTGCTTCCTCTGGAATACCTTCTTCAAAATGAAATTTCTGTAAATATGTTGGACAGTTTTCCATATGTTTTCCATTTTCCATTGGTAGCTCTTTCCCCCTCTGCTCACAAATGCTGCAAGCTTCCTTTAAAACATAAAATTACAGATTAAATTAGGAATAATATCAATATTTGTCTTCCTGGACCTGTTATCTCTAGATATTCAACTACAGTRCTTCCAATATGCCAGTTTAGGGAACACTGACATATGTTTAACATGAAAAACAAATCTARTACAGTTGGCCTTCCATATCCACAGACTGGACTATCCACAGTTTTAAAATACCCCCCCCCCCCCAAATTCCAAAGAAAAGAGACCTTGATTTTTTTTCACTACATCCATGGATGTTAATTGAGTAAATGTTCTAGCAGAATAATAATCTATGTGCCATCATCTCCTTTAAGACATAACATTGCTATTGTTTGCCTTCAAGTTGTTTCTGACATATGGCTAGGTTTGCTTGGCAACCTTTGTTTGGCAGACTTGCCTTTTCACTCCTCTGAGAATAAGAGAGTGTGATTCTCTCAAAGCCACCCTGTGCGTTTTCATGGCCAGGTAGGGATTCAAAGCCTGGTCTCCAGAGTTGTAGTCCAGCAATTAAACTACTACACCACTCTAGCTCTCCCAATGCAGTATACATTCACATTATCCATACACATATTGCCTCCATGAGTTGTCTCCAAGAAAAATATGAGTTTTGAAATAATAAGTGGAATCAAAATGTAATCAGGGCTATTGACATGATCACCCCACAACATCCTCTCCGACCTGTGACGAAACAGGCTCCCTGTTATACAGAGACACTCAAAGAAATGAAACAGGAAGGATGATGGCTAGAGCACTGAGAGGGGAAAACTCAACTTTTATGCGACAAGACATGGTATAGAGGGCACTTTTGCTCCTATAAGATGGCAATGCTTGCAGTGAAGAAAGCTTTGCTTTCTGCAAGCATTACACCTGCAGATTCACGTCAAGCAGAATGGTGAGAGGCTTAACACATGTGCCCTCCCCTCTGAACTCAATGCTAGAACCTTCAGTAGCACACTGTGATGTTTTTAACAACCATTTTGCAGGTAAAATCTTTCACATAAGAGCTGATTTAGATGATGTCATTGGAGCAGAGGCCAACAATGAGATATCCAGCAACTCTGAAAGTGGGATTACACTATATCAGTTTCAATTGGTTAGTACTGTTGATGTGGACAAGATCCTGGGGCAAGTAAGGAGAATAACCTGCCTTCTTGATCCCTGTCCATTTTGGCTGGTTGTCCAGGAAGGAGATGCAATTTGATCTCAAATACAACTAATTATTAATGCATTTCTCAGAGAAGGAAATTTTCCATCCTGTTTAAAAGAAGCAGTAGTCAGATCGCTGCTGAAAAAATTCTCCCTGGATCCCCTGGACGGTAACAACTACAGACCAGTCTCTAGCTTTCTTTTTTTGGGTAAGGTGATTGAGAAGGCAGTTGCCCTCCAACTCCAGGCAGTCTTGGATGACGCACACTTCCTTGACCCTTTTCAAACCAGCTTGAGAGCAAAATATGGAGTTGAGACTACAATACATTGCTTCAATAGTAAATTAGATTGTTTGTGTTAAAAAACAAATATATACATAAAAATAAAATTAAGGTCTCCACACCTCTTCATGGCAAGGGCTCAATTTTACACATAAGATGTGTTTGTAAACCTGCTTCAGATCTCTCAGCTGCATTGCTTTTTATAGCAGAAATTAAATGTCAAGGAGACAATATGACTTGGAGTTACAAAGAAATGCCAATTTTGTTTTCCCTTTCTTTTTCCAACTGTAGGAAGAAAACAGTCCATCTGATTTTACCTTTCCTGCTGGCTTTGAAGACCAGATTTTAGGTGTCTGCCAGTCACCCAAAGTAGGAATCATGGGGCTTGCAGCCAGTGAACTTGCCCAAAGTACCACTAGTCTGGGAAGCAGCAGCAGCAGTGGAGACACGGGAAAGCCACACTATCAAACAGGTATGAGGTGGGGGTGAAACAGTTGAGTGTTTGAAATAACAGGTATTAAAAATTGCCTGGGAAATGCATGCAGATAATTACGGGGTCTTTTGGTCAGGTGTTTTCCATTCAGGAGGTAGGCAAGGCCATAGAGGAATGAACGTGAAGCCCTCCTTTGATTTGACCCTGTGGAGAAAACAGACAGGTCCACAAGGGTCATTAGTGCATCACACTGGCTTATCCAAACACTCAATTTTGTGAAAATTGTGAGTGATAATAAATTCTGCTGACACATGCTAATTACACAGCCCAACCAAAAAAAAAATCTTGATGTCTTGGTTTTTAGGCCTGTTCCTGGGGTTACTTGGGGTGCTGGTTCAGCTCTAGTTTCTTAGATATTAATGAATTTACAGTGGAAATTTTGTACCATAAATCTATGCTTTAGGTATAAAATAAGTAGATTTTCATGTAGTACGCTTCTCTTTGAATGTCTAATATGTTTCCTTCATGTTTAAAATATATTAATTTAAACATGACATTAGAATATCCTTATTTTTTATGGACGAGAAGTGTGGTAGATGGCAAATGTTCTGTATCAGCAGGTCAAATATACCCAGAAACAGGTTTAACCTTTGAGGCACTAAAATGTGGGTTGGCCAGTGTTATAGATGGCCAATTTCCATGTTATATTGGGTCTTTTTTCTTCTGACATTTGAGTAAGCAGCCTTTGTAAACTACCATAATAAAATAAGCATTAATGGAATAAATGAATTCTTACACGATTTTTGTTCCTGGATTATAAATGCCATTTCCTAATTGGTTCTATCATAAAAACATGGAAAAGGCTTCAAGTTGTTTACAGTTATGGCAACCCTAAGGTGAACCTATCACAAGGTTCTATTAGCAAAGTTTGTTCAGAAAAGGTTTGTTGTTGCCTTCTTCTGAGTGTGACTTGCTCAAGGTCACCCAGAGGGTTTCATGGCTAGTGGGGATTTGAATACTGGTTTCCAGAGTTATAGCCCAGTACTCAAACCACTACACCACATACAGCCACTCTTTCATAACATGACATTAAATGGCAAAAATGAGTTTCCCAAGTTAACAGTCAAAAGAACATCTGAAGATGCAGCTGTGGTTGGCAGTAATGTATTCATAGGTAAAGGTAAAGGGGGTGTGTGTGCTCATCTCCATTTCTAAGCCGAAGATCCAGCATAGTCTGTAGACACCTACAAGGTCCTGTGGAGTGCCATTGCCTTCCTTTCAAAGCAGTACCTATTGATCTTCTCACATTTGCATGTTTTCAAACTGCTAGGTTGGCAGAAGCTGGGGCTAACAGCGGGAGCTCACTCCGCTCCCCGGATTTGAACCACCAACCTTTCACTCAGTGAGTTCAGCAGCTCAGTGGTTTAACCCGCTACGCCACCAGGGGGCCCTAATGTATTCATGGTTTCCCCGATAAAAGAAGGATTATGAAGTTTTCACAAGGACGTCAACTTCAGTTATTTCAATGTTTTAGCATTTTAACGGTCTTTGCCTCATATATTAGTCTTTGTATTTGGAGAAAAGTAGGGTGAAAATAAAATTAAAACAAAAAAATTCTCTTCATACAGGTGAAGTTCCATTCCCTAGAGGTATGAAGGCTCCAGATTCTGATAAGTCTGATCATGGCTCTTCACATAATACAAGTTTGTCCAGCATCTTCCAGAACTGTGCAATGGAGGTAAAAGAAGTTGATCATTTTTGGAAAAGGAGATTCATTTAAATGTATTTAGCAAAAGATGACAGAGAATAGAGGGTTTAAAAAGAAGTCAAGGATTTAGGATGCTTTCAAAAGTTTCTCTGGAGAACATTCTGCAAAGTATGGATATTTAAACTGGGTGCATACATTTATTTTTTCCATTTGTTGTTTATTTGGACAGGTCTTAATGTCAAGTTGTTCTCTGTGCCGAGCCTGTGGAGCACTAGTTTATGATGAAGAAATCATGGCAGGATGGACTGCAAATGACTCCAATCTGAATACTACATGCCCATTTTGCAAAAAAACTTTCTTACCTCTACTTAATGTGGAATTTAAAGACTTGCGTGGTCTTGCAAGGTTGGTATATTATCCTCACATGCTTATTAGACAGTTTTAAGGAGCTGATGGCAAATTGACTTTCCTATCAGTTAGAATGTAAATCATATTAGCTGAGATTTCTGTTTGAATTCTAGAGTTCAATGTATTTATTTCTGAAGTTCTCGGTAAGTTTGATGGAAGAGTTCAAAGTTACAAAGGACAGTATTGTTCAGTTCAACCTTCCCTTTTTGTTTTGCTTTTCTTCCTGTCGCTTCCCAGCATGCTCTTGAAACCAAGTACCTCTGGTGACAGTTTACACAGCAGTAACATTCCATTAACCACTGATTCCATGGAGCAGAAGCCTGTTTCCAGGCCTGACACGGATTTGATAAGTTTTTCAGAAACCTCCAATGCCAAACAGACCATCACAGAAGAGAACAGCGCTGCAGCAGGGCAGAGGTACAGCTGGGAGAGGGGAGAGCATTAGCAAACATTCATTGGGACTAATGGCACTGACTTCTATGTAAAAAACAAAATAGTTAGCCCTCTGTATCCACGGATTCTCCGTCCATGGATTCAACTTCCCTTTATTGGGGATAATGGATGGATGGATCACGACCTGTTAGGGCTGCAACCCATCAGGTAGCAGAATTTGAGAGGAGTATTCCTTGAGCTTATTTGATGCTTTAGGGCAGGCAAAGATTCAAGCAGACTTGTTTTAGAATAACAATCTTTGTTTAATGTATTGTCGAAGGCTTTCATGGCTGGAATCACTAGGTTCTTGTGGGTTTTTTCGGGCTATAGGGCCATGTTCTAGAGGCATTTCTCCTGACGTTTCACCTGCATCTATGGCAAGCATCCTCAGAGGTAGTGAGGTCTGTTGGAATTAGGAAATGGGTTTATATATCTGTGGAATGGCTGGGGTGGGGCAAGGAGCTCTTCCCTGCTGCAGTTAGGTGTGAATGTTTAGCTGATCACCTTCATTAGCATTTAAAGGCCTGCCTGAGCCTGGGAAAATCTGTTGCTGGGAGGTGTTAATCTGTGCCTGGTTTTTTCCTCTCTGTTGTTTAGCTGTTATAATTTTAGAGTTTTTTAATACTGGTAGCCAGATTTTGTTCATTTTCATGGTCTCTTCCTTTCTGTTGAAATTGTCCACATGCTTGTGGATTTCAATGGCTTCTCTGTGTAGTCTGACATGGTGGTTGTTGGTGTGGTCCAGCATTTCATCACTTCTGGCTATTTTGCTGTGTCCAGGCTGGTCCATCAGGTGCTCTGCTATGGCTGACTTCTCTGGTTGAAGTAGTCTGCAGTGCCTTTCATGTTCCTTGATTCTTGTTTGGGCGCTGCGTTTGGTGGTCCCTATGTAGACTTGTCCACAGCTGCATGGTATACGGTAGACTCCTGCAGAGGTGAGAGCGATCCCTCTTGTCCTTTGCTGAACGTAGCATTTGTTGGATTTTCTTGGTGGGTTTGTAGATTGTTTGTATGTTGTGTTTCCTCATCAGCTTCCCTATGCGATCAGTGGTTCCCTTGATGTATGGCAGGAACACTTTTCCTCTGGGTGGATCTTCATCTTTACTCTCGTGGCTTGTTCTTGGTCTTGCATCTGGCTACCAGTACTAAAAAACTCTAAAATTATAACAGCTAAACAACAGAGAGGAAAAAACCAGGCACAGATTAACACCTCCCAGCAACAGATTTTCCCAGGCTCAGGCAGGCCTTCAAATGCTAATGAAGGTGATCAGCTAAACATTCACACCTAACTGCAGCAGGGAAGAGCTCCTTGCCCCACCCCAGCCATTCCACAGATATATAAACCCATTGTCCTAATTCCAACAGACCTCACACCTCTGAGGATGCTTGCCATAGATGCAGGCGAAACGTCAGGAGAAATGCCTCTAGAACATGGCTCTATAGCCCGAAAAAACCCACAAGAACCTAATCTTTGTTTACTTAAAACATTGGTTCTCAACCTTCGTAATGCCGCAACCCCTTAATACAGTTCCTCATGTTGTGGTGATGATCCCTAACCATAAAATTATTTCAATTGCTACTTCATAACAGGAATTTTGCTACTACTATGAATCGTAATGTAAATATCTGATATGCAAGATGTATTTTCATTCAATGGACCAAATCTGGCACAAATGCCCAATTCACCCAAATTTGAATACTGGTGATGTTTTGTCAATTGGGAGTTGTAGTTTCTTTATAGTTCATCTACAATCAAAGAGCAAACTGAACTCCACCAGCGATGGAATTGAACCAATCTTGGCACACAGAACTCCGATGACCAACAGAAAATACTAGAAGTGTTTGGTGGGCTTTGACCTTAAGTTTTGGAGTTGTAGTTCACCTACATCCAGAGAGCACTGTGGATTCAATGATGGATCTGGACCAAACTTGGCACGAATACTCAATATACTCAAATGTAAACACTGGTGGAGTTTGGGGAAAATAGATGTTGACATTTGGGGATTGTGGTTGCTGGGATTTATAATTCACCTACAATCAAAGAGCATTATGAACCCCACCAACGATAGAATTGGGCCAAATGTCCCTCACAGAACCCCCATGACCAACAGAAAATGCTGTCTTTTCTGATAGTCTTTGGCGACCCTTCTGGCACCCCTTTGCGATCCCCCCCAGGAGTCCTAACCCCCGGGTTGAGAAACACTGATACAGGTACATTTCTTTTGAGGGTTAAAAACTTCAAAAATGTTTGGAAAGTTTGTATCTTAAAACTTATAAACAAGCCCCAACAGTTTTCTAGCTTCTAACATTAGCTTCTGAAGCACACTGAGTCAATCACATGATCTGGAGCTCCTCCCACTGGTTTAAGCACATAGAGATGAGGTAATTGCAAACTACAAATCTTCTATATAAATAAAAATGTAATGTTTTGCGCAAAACCACATATATACAAATATACACAAATACACACAAAACACATATACACAAACTGAGCCACAGCAACGCAACACTGTATTTTGTGTACTCATCATAAAAGGGAATTTTCAGAGATGTTCCCAATGCCCATATGTCCTGATTTACTGCCGTATTGGCTTGTTTCTGCAGGCCTTTGTTTACACAAAATGCTGATCGTTTGAGAAAACGTTGCTACAGCGAGGAAGTTACTATTCAAGGATAATAGTACACCCAGACAAAACCGGCTAGCTGGCGGTTAGTTGGAACTCCCAAATTTCCCAGTCGATTTCAAGTTATGTTTGAAACAGATTAACAGATAAGATTGATTCATTAAGATGGTCATGGTCAGAGAACAAGCCCAAGAAACCCACATTAGGGGCAAGAGAAATCAAGATATGTTGAGGTAGTCCTTTCATGACATTTCCTGAAGCATGAAATGTTGAAATAAAAAGAATTATTGTGAAAAGATAGATTTCAAAGCACTTTGTGCTTTGAAAGTACTAATCAAAATCTCTCCAAGGAAATGTTGATAAGGTTGCGACCAAAGTGGAACTACTAAGAAATAAGGAAGTTATTGGCCTACTTGGGAAATTCCTGTAGACTGCAGAGGTACAAAACATCTTTTAGGGGAAAGTACCTAAAAGTTTATCCATTTCCCAAAAAACCCCTTGACTAATGAAGATGGAGCTTACTAGTGGGCCACAGGAGGATTTGTCTGTCTGTTGGAAGAGGCCCAGAAGAGAGAGGCAAAGAGAATGAAATGTTAGGAGACACCACATGGTGATCTGGAACAATAAACAGGAGCACATTACAACATTTTGTTGCAGACCCTTTTATGCTCAGGGTAAATGACTAATTTTATTATGTTTTAAGCACTAGTATAAAAGAAAAAGAAGATAGAGATCCGAAAGGCTCACGGCTGTCTGTTACAAGCAACACATCAAAACGAGGGACTTCCCTGACTCGGAGCCACAGTGTTGGTGGCCCTTTGCAAAATATTGATCTCCTTCAGAGACCATTTCATGGCATTTCAACAGTCAGCCTCCCGAACAGCTTGCAAGAGACTGTGGTAAGTTCTTTGCTTGTTAAGCTAACTCATTGTTGACAGTCGAGTTTGTATATGTGTTACAGAGCATCTTGTGCCCCTCTTTCTTGTTATGTATAAGAAATAAAAGTGTTTGTAAATAATTTTTTTCTCCCTCAATATGTTTTATCTCAGTTGTGTTACAGTTTCCAAACATGCATTTGGAGATTCCTTGTAGCAAGTACCATTGCCTTTCCCATGATACAGAAAACGATAGAAAAATATCARTGTATTACACTACTTAACAACATTTGAAAAGGGCTATATGGCCATGTTCTAGAAGCATTCTCTCCTGATGTTTCGCCTGCATCTATGGCAAGCATCCTCTGAGGATGCTTGCTATAGCTGCAGGTGAAATATCAGGAGAGAATGCTTCTAGAACATGGCCATATAGCCCAAAAACCTACAAACCCAGTGATTCCAGCCATGAAAGCCTYCGACAAAACATTTGAAAAGTTTTCTGTTCCTAGTTTGAAAGTGTTACTTCCTGTTTAATTGTSCAGTACTTGCTTTGAAAGTAATTGTTATACTATAGAAACTTTGTTTTTGTGGCTGCCACAAACTCTGTTGAATTGGTTGAGACTCTGTGAGATATTCATTTAAAAACTGTAGCAAAATGTGCTGCAGGGTGTCCCACAAAAAAAAAAAAGTTTGGCAGTTTAATAAACATTTTCCATGTTTTTATGATACAACCAATTAGGAAATGACATTTATAACCCAGGCAAAAAAATCGTGTTACACAGTGTTATGTGACATTAAATTTACATATTTGTATCAACACCATTCCCAGAAAAAGAAACCTTGAGAACTTCTGGCAGCTTTTCATTTTGAGAGAAGCTACATAAACTCACCCATTGCTGGCCAAAAATTATCCATCATTTGTTTTTCAGGATCCCATACAAAAAAGGACAAACCCTTTGCCTCTGTCTGTGCCCTATTTGAGCCCATTGGTCCTTCGGAAAGAGTTAGAATCTTTGTTGGAGAATGAGGGCGAGCAAGTGATCCATACCTCAACGTTCATCAATCAGCACCCTATTATATTCTGGAATCTAGTGTGGTATTTCAGGCGCCTGGACCTCCCCAGTAACTTGCCAGGACTCATTCTCACATCAGAACACTGTAATGACGGTGTACAAGTAAGTCCTGGAACAACGTTTTGATATATTTTACATTTTCTTCCTTTTCTTTTAAAGGGGAGAAGAAGGTAATACATTAGCTGATTTTGCACCAAAATACTGATAACATTGAATGGCAGGGTTGAAATGGAATAATTCTCGCTACTTAAAGTTTATTCAAAATAAGTTGATAGGGTTAATTTTAGTGGATGCTGCTGTTAGTGACAACTATTCAAAAGTTTATTATTTTTCCTTCAGCTTGTTGATGGGAAAATAATTAAGAATCCAAGCTAGGATCACATCCCATGAGTTCAGCGAGCCCCCAGTGGCGCAGTGGATTAAACCCTTGTGCTGGCAGGGCTGCTGATTGAAAAGTTGGCGGTTCAAATCCAGGGAGCGGGGTGAACTTCCATCTATCAGCTCTAGCTTCTCATGTAGGGACATGAGAGAAGCCTCCCACAGGATAGTAAAACATCCAGGCGTCCCCTGGGCAACGTCTTTGCAGGTGGCCAATTCTCTCACACCAGAAGCAACTTGCAGTTTCTCAAGTTGCTCCTGACACGGAAAAAAAAGGTGAAAACAAGCTAAACACTACTAGTTATTCCATTAAAATAACTGAAATTTAAAACTGTTTACTTTTGCATTTAGCTGTAAGCCTTTAAATAGTTTTAGCAGATGATGACATTTTTGAAATTGGTTGTTTGGGATTGAACTTCAGAGATGTGACTCAGCTTGTAGATGTAATCACATGAGATGTCCCTTGCTGCTGTGAGGATCCTATCCTCCATGTAAATATTCCTAAGTAAATGCCTTTTCCCAATGTGCCTTATAAACAAGCTTTTGCATGTGTTGCGGATATGATGCAAATCCTTTTCGGGGTTTGAATTGGGCTCGATGTAAATCAGAAGACGTAGCCTGTTTTAATGGGCCACTCCCTGCTTATTAGAAAACTCAGTCAGTCTATGGAGTGAGATTAGCATGGTGTACTTGACGTTGCAGAACTTTTGGCAGAGATCTCTGTCTGTGGGAAAGTGATAAGCAAGTATGTTTCCTTCATCTTTAGCTTCCTCTGTCAAACCTGTCCCAGGACAGCAAGTTAGTGTATATCCAGCTACTCTGGGACAACATCAATCTTCATCAAGATCCCGGGGAGCCCCTGTACATCTCCTGGAGGAATCTCAGTGAGTAAAGTGAACTTTTAAAAATTGAGTCCAGAAACTATTGAATGTGTTTGCTTTTTTTTTTTTTTTAATAATTCTTCCTGAAATTCATCACATTTTCCCAAATGGCCACCTGCTGCCAGTACATGGTTTGTTCAGTTGCTACAGACCAGAAGTGCCTTAAATCAGGCTGATTTGGGTCAGAAACCATACTGCACAACTTGGTTGCTTGTTTCTATAGTAAGTCTGCTAAAGGCAACAGACATTTGTTGCCTCATTTTTTAGTCTTCCAGGGAAGGCACTCATTAGATGCATAATATATTGAAAAACATGGTATTTTTTTTAACCTTTAAGCAGTCAGATTAGAAAAGTTGTTAGTTTTCGCCTCACTATTTGATAGTCGAAAAGATTTACCTTTAATATTTAGGAAAGGAAAAATGTTGGATTTAGGCTTGTAAGACATTGGATCTTCATGGAATCCACATCTTCAACTGTCCAGGCATGCAACATTGCAATTAGGCCATTTTTAAAAATGACAATTGTTTTTAATTATGTGTTCTTGCCATAGTTTAGGAAACTACTTTTTCTGATTCCGCTTCATATAATTGAAGTGACTGAAGTTTAGGAAACTATTTTTTTTTCTGATGTCACTTCATATAATTGAACCCAAATAAGTGTTCCAACCTCTGCTGCACTGAATAAGGGAATATGAACCACATTGTGCATATCATCACTTGCTTACTATGGCAAGAACACATAATTAAAAACAATTGTCATTTTTAAAAACAGCATAATTGTAATGTTGCATTGAGAAAAATATATATGTAAATAACTGGGCATCACAGATCACCTCCATTCAGTGCCTCAAAATAATCCTAGGAATGCATCAATATAGTATTAATTGTTTTCATTTCTTCCTTCCTGCCAAGTTTGCACTCCTTTCTCCCCCCACCCCCTTCCATGATTTTTCTCCTTTGTTGCTCTTTTTCTCTCTCATCTCATCCCTTCTTGATCTCCTCCTTTCCCACGCTTCTGCTTCTCCTCTTCTTGTTATCTCCTTACTCGGCAAATCTATTCAGGAATTAACATTTCATTCCATGTTTTCACTTGTTTTTTTGTGTGCTTTGGTGTAGATTCTGCTGAGAAAAAACCCTCAGCGAATTCAGAAGAGCAGCAAGCAATCAGCACTTTAGTTGATAATATCAAACTGAGTATCCAGCACAATGATGTCATCAAACCAATAAACCTCCTTGTGCAGAAACTTAAACAGGATGAAAAACGACAAAGGTAAATAGTAGATCCAGCTAATGCCTCTAAATATGAGACTTTGTAAATACTCTCCTTAATCTGAGTGCACAGGAGCATTCGGAATTTGGAAGCACATAGATTTTTATTTAGGAAGATTGTTTTATGTGTACTGATGATTTTCATCTGCAGATGTTAGCCTTAGAAATGGGCAGTTTGCTCTGTGAATATAGCACATTCACTCTGGGACTATAGCAAGTGCAGTTATAATCATTTTTAAGAAGCAGCTATACAGGGTTCTCTCACTTATCACGGAGGTTCCGTTCCAGGACCCCCTGCGATAAGTGAAAATCTGTGAAGTAGGGACGCTATACTAATTGTAATATTTATACAGCAAAAAATGTATACAGCCAAAAATTGGGCTGAAGGCCCAAACAAACCCGCTTCCTAGGGTGACCTTCCAAAGCCCTTTTGAAGGCTTCCCAGAGCTCCTGAGGGTGGCCAGCCCAGCCAATACAGGGAGAGCAGGGTCCGCCTTCCATTAGCTGGCCACCCCACTGGAACTTCTCCCGCCACTGAGGGGGCTGCTGGGAAGAAGAAGCCCCCTCTGGCACCATTGCGGTGGAAGGGAGGGAGGGAGGGAAGGCGAGGAGGAGGGGGAGGATGGATGTGGGGGCGCCGGGCTTGCCTCATGGGCCATGTAGGGAAAACTTCAGGGGCTGCTCAGAGAAAACAGCAAAACGGCGAGTCTGCAGTTAGCAAACTGCGAAGCACGAGTGAATACTGTATATATATTTTAAAAGTCAGTGGTCAGAGATGATAATAAACAGTTCAAATGCAAAGAAACTCAACAGCTTGGAGCCTTTAGGGAGCTCTTGTTACTCATAACTCACCTGAGGAGTTTTGCTTGATAGCACAGTGCCAGTTGGTCTGTATTCAACCTACACTGTAAATTGTATCACAGAAAGACCTGAAACTTCTAAACAGCTAGACTTGCTAGCATAAATCTAATTCACATCCACTGAGTGTAAGGTAGTATTTATTTACTCTATTTGTATCCCACCTTTCTCTACCTTGAAGGGGACTCAAGGCGGCTTTACATATGGCAACTATTCAATAATATAACTTATTGGCAGCCCAATTGTTGTATTATTGTTAATATTAATGTTCCATTACATTTATTTTAACCCCACTCTATCTCTTTAAAAAGAGACCCAAAACAGCTGATTGTTAGGTGTGAAATTGTCTTAATGTTGAAGTATATTTTTATAAGACCGAACTTTGCCCTAATATCTAACTTTATTATTTTAAATAGGAGTTTTTACAGAGAAATCCTTTTCCTGTCTTTGGTGTCCCTTGGGAGAGAAAACATAGACATTGGTAAGAAATTATTACGGATGTGTAATTTTTCTCTATGTCTTATGAAGTAAGTGCTTAGTATTCCAGGACTGATTGAGGTACACATCCTCCATAGATTTCCAGAAGTTACTAGGTTGAGGTTGGTGGGGCTGACATCCTGCATAAATATGCAGTCAGTGGCACCCTTACAGTCAAGATGTTTCAGAATTAATACCTCCGAATTTCGTGGTTTGAAAAATGGGCTACCATTGCCATTTTGTCTTTTCCACCCTAGAAACACATGAGAAAGTCCAAGGTACGGCCTGAAGTTCTCCTAGCTTTTAGTACAACCTCATATGAATGGATGTAGCATCCGTTCATACTATATGTTAAAACTGTAATTAGATGCAGGCTGCTTGGCTAGAAATTAGTTATATTCATTCCTCTTTTTGACCCATAATAAATATATCACAATAGACAGAACATCTTAGTAGTCATTTTATGAAAATACTCAGAAGCTCAAAGAGGTCCTAATTTTCTGTCCTTTTGATCTGTAATAAATATGTCATCAGGGCCCCCTGGTGGCACAGCAGGTTGAACCGCTGAGCTGCTGACCTTACTGACCAAAAGGTTGGCAGTTCAAATCTGGGGAATGAGGTGAGCTCTCACTGTTAGCCCCAGTTTCTGCCAACCTAGCAGTTTAAAAAAATGCAAATGTGAGTGGATCAATAGGTACTGCTTCTACAGGAAGACAATGGTGCTCCATGCTGGCCATATGACCTTGGAGATGTCTATGGACAATGCCGACTCTTTGGCTTAGAAATGGAGATGAGCCCCCCCCCCCCCCCAAGAGTTTGAATCAACTAGACTTCATGTCAAGGGGAAACCTTTACCTTTTAAATATGTCACCATAGACAAGACATTATACTAGCCATTTTGAGAAAATATTCAAAAGGTCCTAACACACAAAATGTCAAGCTGGGTTTCTCAAAAACAGGTCCTTCCAGATGAGCCTTATCTTTTTTTTGATAGCGTTACAGGCTTGGTAGATGAATGGGATGCTGTGGATATAGGATATCCAGATTTGGACAAGGTTCCCCATGACATTTTCAGAAAGAAACTAGTAAAATGTGGGCTAGACAATACTACTGTTAGGAGGACTGGGAGTTAGTTGACTGGCCGAACTCCAAGGACACTCACCAAAGCCTCTTCCTCATCCTGAAGAAAAGTGACCAGTGAGGTGCCACAGAGGTCTGTCCTGGGCCCGGTGCTATTCAGCTTGATCAATGGCTTGGACAACGGAATGGAAGGTGTGCTTGCCAGATTTGCAGATGGTGCCAAATTGGGAGGGATCGTAGCTAGTACCCCAGAGGACAAGACCAGAATTCAAAATGGCCTTAACAGATTAGAGAGCTGTGCCCAAACTAACAAAATGGATCTCAACAGGGAGAAATGCAAGATGTTCCACTTTGGTAATAAAAATGAAATGCATAACTATAGGATGGGGGACACCTGGCTTGAAAATAGTCCACATGAAATGGATTTAGGAGTCTCAGTAGATCACAAGCTGAATATGAGGCAACAGTGTGATGCCGGCAGCTAAAAAAGCCAATGCAATTCTAGGCTGCAATTCAGTAGGAGTATAGTGTTAAGATCGAGGGAAACGCTAGTCCCACTCTCTTCTTCTTTGGTCAGACCTCATCTGGAATACTGACCAGTTCTGGGCATTCTAATACATGTCCAGAAAAGGGCAACCAAAGTAATCAAAGGTTTGGAAACCAAGGCTTATGAGGAATGGCTGAGGGAGTTGAGTATGTTTAGCTTGGAGAAAAGCAGGCTGAGGGAGGACATTATAGCCATGTTATATATTTGAAATGACGTCACATTGAGATGCAGCCAATCTTGTTTTCTGCTGCTCCGTAGTCTAGAACAAGGAGCAATGGATTCATATTGCCCGGGGGGAGGGGGGATTCCACCTAAACATTAGAAATAACTTTCTGATCATAAGACCTATTCTGCAATTGAATATGCTACCTTGGAGCATGGTGGAGTCACCTTCTCTAGAGATTTTTAAGCAGAGGCTGGATGGCCATCTGTCCGGGTGTATTTGTTTCTGTGTTCTTGCAAGGTGGGAGGTGGAGGGGTGGATTGTGAAAATATCTGCAGCTTCTATATCCACTCAAATGGTGCTGATCTTCTTTGCAGAGGCCTTTGATAATGAATACAGGTCTGCGTACAAATGCCTTCCAACAGAAGTGCTTGACAAGATGCAGAAGATAGACGCTCCACCCAGCAGCAGCGTTGAGTGGTGCAGGAAATGCTTTGGAGCACCGGTCATTTAAACTACACAGATACGTCATTGAATGTGATACAAAACAAAGCAGGAAATAAAACTGGGAATGTATAGACATAGATCCAAGCTCCATTACCCAAGATAAAGTGGTTGTGCACAGTCCATTTCAGGAGTAAACATAGCACTCCCTTGTGAGTTTGATAGTTATACCAGCCCATGATTTAAAAGTAAATGTGCTAGTACAAAAAATACCTAGCTTTTGAATTGACTAATTTTATATATATTCTGTCTATTCCATCCTTTTCTGCCTAGTGTCTAGGAGAGAAGAGTGACAGTGGAGGACATTTATTTGTTGTCTTCCTTTTAAAGACTTGAAATATTAGAATATGTTATTTTATCTGCCCATTCACCCAACAGCACATAAAAATGAATTTCTTTATAGAAGTTTAAAGATGTTTTTGTTTGCTCCACAAATATGTACATACATTCTGTATGTTTGAATTATGAATTGCAGTTCTTTCCCCTTGGTTTAGAATACAGAACTGTCAAGTTAATCGATCCCCATTCTCTTGAAATCAGTCATAATTCAAATGTAGCTTGATATTTACTCTTTTCATACTATATTCTTTAGATTATTTTTAAACTGTATATACAATTAATATTTTCTCCCAAACAATGATGGGTTTCTACCCTGAGTGATTGTAAGGCAGTTGCCTTTATGTAAGAGTGGAGAGCTAATGAATCTAGGGTACATAAAAGGGGATGAAATATTGACCATATGCATTTTTAGGATTCATGTAAAAGAAAATATAAATATGTATGTGTGTGTGTATGGGTCAGGGGCAAAGCGTCGGGTGCACTAATGCCTCATCCATGCTCATCTTTCTAACCTGTGGGACAATATATATTTTTGCACTGTCCAAGTTAAATCCTTTTATCATAAATGTATTTATACTCACACACTTGAAGATGTGTTTACTGAGAATGATAAAAATATTTGTAACTGTTCTTAAATTTGTTAATATCCCTGGTTAACTGCCAGTTGGTCTTGGGGGGAAATGTGGGCATTTGCACCTCACATTTGACAGTCCTTGGATGTTTGTTGCTTAACATCTGATGGCATTCATGTGTAATTGTCCTGCTTCTGTTCAGCTCAGAGGGTGCAACCACCCTCAGGGATGTTCATGCATTGCTTGATGAAGCAAATCCACATGGAGGAATTCTGTGGATAATGATTAAAGCACAAACTGATTGTGGTTGTGAGTGCATCCTGCCCATAGTAATTATTTTTATATTTCGCACGTCTAGCACTCGCACAAAAATACAGGGCAAAGCTGAGCAAGATTGTGAACTTTCTAATGATAGTAATCATCCAATAAAGCAGTGAGAATTTTGCACTTGTCAGAACAGTCTTGCACTTTAGGTTCAAATATATCTTCTGTTGTTTATGCTAAGCAACGTTTCAGAATATATTTGCCGATAATATGCTTTTAATGTGCCCTTCAGAAAAGCATTAGTACAGTGGCAATGCCTCTACTGTGTTCCTGCTGTACTTTTCTCAAAAAAGAGGGGTCGCTGGTGTCTTAAACTTGCCTGTAGAATTGGTTTTTATCTCTTATGCCCCTTCCCCCAAAAAATTATGAATGTTCACAAATAAATGTTGGTTAATTTTGAAAAACCCTTACGAAACACATTTCTGTATGTTCCCGTTTCTATTATGAGAACAGTATGCCAGGTTTAAACGACAACCATTGCACTTTTTCTTGTTTTGTTTCTGAAATTTTCCACTTTGCTTTAGGTGTTTCTAAATGATAGGCCATAAGTGACCTGGAGCAAATTGCCTCATTGATAGCATACAGAAGTAGTTGGGGTTTCTTTGATTCTTCAGTAACTAATTACAGAAAGTTAAAACTGTTGCCTTTGAACTGATGTACATTGGTCATGCTTGAATGCAGAACAGTTAATGATGTATCAAAGGCAGTTTCTGAATCAAGTTTCCCAAATTGAGATTGGCACTGTGACATGGGCTCCTCTCATGCCGTCCACATCCGACATTATTCTGGCATGTTTTGGAGCAGAGCAGGAAAAACCCAAATAATAATCATAGTACTTAGTAGATTTCGAGCTGTGTTTTGCACCAATACCAAACCACTATTTTCTAATCACTTTTTACACCTTTAAGATACATGAAAGCAATAATGTTTATTCTAGCCCATCTTGAGGGATAGAAAATGTCAGATTCATCTTAAGACCTCCTTACTGGAAGCATATATGCTGGAATTCAGCTATACTACCCATCGGACAATGATGGAAACATTTTGCTTCTACGGGGTGTTAAGAGTTTTGAACATAAAAAGCCAGAGGTCATAATAATGTGTATGCAGGTTAGTACCCACTATCATTAAACAACTGACAAATGAAAACTAAATGCAAATCCCATATCTTCAAGTAAGACTGATTATAGATAGCAGACTGAGTAAGAAAGTACAGTGCCGCCTCCCAATCCACAGGTCAGTTTAGTTCTTGGACACCCTCCTCCTCCCTGGTGGATACAAGAAACAAGGCAGATGATCACATCCCATATTATTACATGATGAAAACATATGCATGTCTGCTTCAGCACATATGTGTTCACCTCACTACCAATTTATGTGTAGGACGTGATGATGTGCAGTCAGTAAAATCTTGGATCTGGAGGGTCCAATGTAGTACAATGAACCTTCAGAAATGTAAATATTGGTGAAATTTGTACAATCAGGTCCTAGGCATAATTATTAGGAAGTAAGCAGCGCTATGTTTTTGTGATCTTAATTCTAAAGTTTGCCTGGGGAAAAAATAGCTTTAAAGCAAATCTCTGGGAAGCCCCAGTGAGACCGATTCCCAGGAAACTAACGGAACCATATAAAATGTTGGTGTATTTTTTAGTAATATACCTCATTTAAAGGGCTTTAGTTTGTACCTACATTTACAATTTTTTTCAAAGTGTATATTTCTCAGTAACTTCAATTTTACTCTTAAATCATCTGAGAAACAACAGCAGCGCCATGAACTAAAACAAAAGAGCAATCAAATCGCTTTACATTGTCATCCGGACATTGATTTTACAAACATTAAGAGAATAACCATGATGTGTAGCGATTTTATATTTCTTTTTTTCAATTTCATTTTTTAAAGTGTGTGCATTTATGGGAACAAGTTGTTAAACTGGTCTCATAAAACAAACACTTATGTGTCCTTCAACTTATTTCTGTGTCAATCTAATGAACTATTTATGAAGAGGATCAAAAATGCTTATACTTGGTTTGCCTTATTCATTAAAGACATTTGGAACTCTTAGCCACTGAACTTGTAAATTTCTTCAGTGCAGTATCTAGTAAGCGTTCAACCTGTGCCAATACAGAAATGAAGACTTCTTAGCACATTGTAAAGGCTTAACATCCCTTTAATCTCATGGAGCACACTGTGTCAACTAAGCAAACTCAGTGGAAAGAGGGGGTTGTCCAAGTTTGTGCCGTTTTGATCCAGTTCTGCTATAGTCATTGTACTCTGTGTTAGAACAGGATAGACTGGAAAATAGAATTATGTATCAGTACAATTATGAAAGGGATTATTTTGTCTTTTTACAATTTAAAATAACAAGATTCCTTTGTGGACCTTAAACTGTTTATTTCAGGCGGGAGAGGAAAGACTGAATAAAATAAAATGATTTAAGATGGGAAATTTTCTATTACTATTAAACATTGTACAGGATTCAGTTAATTGAAATGTGGCAGCAACTCAGTTTTGCTCACTGTGATCTAACCTGTATCTATAATCATTTTGTAGATAAGATTTAAAAGAGAATTCATATTTCCTATTGACTTTTGTATAGGTACCCTAGGTGATTAGAAACCACTTTCAAATGTTATCTTGAAAATTAAAGTGTATATGTCTACTTTACTTGTGGTGCTTGTTTTTTAAGAATTAAAGCTGCATCTCCAGAAATGTAAACCCTTGCTGAAGAAATTACAAGTTATACCAAGTTATGATTGGACACTTCGGGTATATCAACATAAAGGAGATATGGTTAATGCTCTAAAATGGCTTTGGTAAAATTTCTAAGGAAGAAATGGACAACTGTAACACATCAGTTCGGATCCTGGAAATCCTGAGCACATGGAATGCCAGAAAATAACACAAAACAAACCTCAAAGTGCGTTTTTAAAAGCCCCAGGGCTGCACTGAGTTCACACCTGCCCCAAGGCATGGCTTGACAGGTTGATCTAACACTAATGCCATGCCAGCCTTTCTCCAAATTAGGAACTATGAAACAGGAAGCATCCTTGATGCTTTTCAAAGAGCAAAGTAATCTGGACTTTCTGCTGTTTAAACATTACCAGTATACAGATGATAGGCATAGCATGAGGCATAATTCTGGCTTAATTCTCACTGAAGGAATCTTATGTCAACTGCAGCAAGAAAAACCTTGTTGTAGTGAAGAAATCCATAAATTGATCCAGCATGTTATTAAAATCAAACTGCTAAAGCCAATGTATTTCCATAATGTATAACACAACTCCATTTTTGTACAGTGGAACAGGTAAGCACCCCTGGATCCCATGTTTGCTTGTGCTGCATTTCACCACTAGCCATGCCACTAGCTGGGATTGCAATCCAGAACACTTAGATCTGTTTACTGTCTCTCAGCGAAACAACTCTGTCTCAAATCTGTTAAAACAGGTGTTTCACAGCATGTAACATTACAAGTTGTGACCACCAGTTTATAAGGGAATTAAGTGTCTACATGTTAACTTTAAACATGAGTTAGCAAAAGCAAGGCAAACTAATATATCTAATGGTATACAAAATATGAATTAGTTCCAGAGTTTCTCTCTATTGGGCTTCAGAACTGATCCCTTGACAGCATACAGAGCAACACTAGATAATGGGGTGCTCTGAAATATTTTTTCAGTTGCTATCAGCAAAAGTCACAGTTGACTGTGCTGCTTACACCTAATGAGAGCTTCCTGGAGGACCACTTCCTCCCATCCCTGTGTTAAAAGCTCTTATCAGGAAATATCCCAATAAACCTGAAAGAATTCACACAGCAAGACAAAGCCCCAATAATGGACAGCCAATGCATAGTATTACTTCCCTAAACTGAACACATTTGCATTTGGACCCATAGTCTTGGGGTGACTAGAGAAACAGCTGGTAGGCATCCCTCTCAGATGAGAACTGTAACCCCCAACTTAAGAACCTCCTCTTATTCACTATTTGTGGTAGAAGTTAAGCTAAAGCATTGTAGGCTAGCCATAGCCTTACAGGGAGTAGGCATTCTGCACACAATGCTATTTTACTGGACTTCTACATTTTAACAAACTGACAAAGCAATTTAACTGTACAAATACTCAATTCTCCCCTCACATTTAGTTGTGAACGGTCACTCAAAGACTCTATAACTGCCCTAAAATAAGGATACATTCTCTTGATTAATTTTAATCCAAACAGCATGTTCATGTCTTCCACAAGTTTCAGGGAGAATAAACATTTCCTAAGAGCCATTGTAAAACAGAGAAACTTAGATGCCTCATACTATCCTGGTAGGAAAGAGATCTGCCCCAAACATCAATATGAAGTATCGAATCAAAAACGTTAAGGGTAGAAAGCAACATAAAAACAGTTCATTATCAACTTTGAAGTTTTATTTCAGGTTTTTATGAACACAGTTCACTTTTACTTCTGGCTGGATTCAGATTTAGATGTTGAAGCTCTTAAAGAAGATAGTCGACGCCTCTTGGCTATTTGCTCTTGACGTTTTTCCTTTGCCTCCTAAAACAAAATAAGGAAACATCACAGGTTACACAAAACACTGCTAAATTTTATAAGCATAAGTATTTTCAAATGATGCTGGAGTACAATTCCTACCATCCTTCAACATAACCTACACAGGGCATACAGCCTGACTACTGCCCACTGTGCTATAAAATCACAATGATGTATGCACGCTTTTTCTCACCATGTTCTAAGTTCTTATATGGAAGTACAATTTTATTAGAAAAAGGGTCTGGACTGAAATCTTAACTCAGAAGACCTTATTTAAAATTAGCAAGCAATATACATTTCATATCCATTCAGAACTTGCATCAACATTCCTGTGTTCCTACCTTGGCCTTTCACAAAACAGACCAGGATAGCATACATGAGTTCCCCCAACCATTTTATCTTTACATCAGGAGGCATTTAAGTCCATGTGTAGCCCAAGGACAGGAAGTGGTCTAACTCACCCTGGGTTTCTCCCATTTTAATGTACACCACATTAACTGAAAATTATGTTGTACAGAAACTAATATACCTTCATTCTCTTGGCCAGGAGCTTGGCGTATTCTGCAGCTTCTTCCTTGTTCTTTTGAGTACGCTGCTTTTTCAGGGCAATACGTCTGCGTTTATGTTGCAGAACTCTAGGAGTGACCAAACGCTGAATCTTGGGTGCTTTGGTTCTGGGCTTCTTGCCTAAGCATGCAAGATAGTGTAAATAACAGGATAGCTATCCTGATGTTCAGAGCAAGAATTTACAATTGCACATCAATACCGCTCCATTTTGCTTTACCACTGAACTAGTTTCCAAAAGAATTATCTTGTTACAACATAAAGAGACCTTAAGGATGACTATATTTAATATTTCCCTGCCCACATAATCTCTAACAGAGCTTCTAACACTTTTCCACTCGGGGACCCTTTTTGACCCAATAAATGCTTATGCAACCCTTGGTATAAAAATATAAGTATGAGGTATAAAATCAAACATTTACTAATAACAAATCAGCATTTGCAAGGCTTGCTAAACAGACTGAGTTTCCCTTTTATGAAGTACAGGAAAGAATCTTCTAGAGTCAACTCTGAACACTGCACAACAGAATGTAAATGTCTCAAACAGCAACTACGTGATGTCCAGAAACCTTTTACTGTTGCCAAAATTTTGGGACCCCAACACTGAGCTAAGGGGACCCCATTTGGGCTCGGCATCCACAGTTTAAGAAGCAGTGATGTACAATACCATCTGCAAGCATCTGTACGGTAGTTATTATAGGAGGTTCTAGATACTGCTCTGTGCTTCTGATCGATGACCGCTCAACCAACCATAAACAGAATCATAGCATAGAAGCATGAGTCACTCAGTTCAATCCCTTTCTGCCATGTAGGAAAAGCACATTCAAAGTACCCATGACAGATGGCCATCCAGCCTCTGTTTAGAACCCTCCAAAAAAAGTAGCCTCCACTACACTCCAAGGCATGGAGTTCTATGAAACTTCCCATTCTTCTTAGCAAAGATGAAAATTCTTGCCTTTAAGTGGTAGGTACAAAGCAAGCATTCATTCTCTCCTCATCCACAGAGAGGACAAGATAATAAAATCATAGCTTGGGAAAACCTATGAATACAGAGAACGAGGGCATGCATTCCCTTCTGCCTTATAATAAACAAGAACATATAAATATAAACTAATAGGGAAAGCATCTGGCAAGGGAAATGCACTGGCCTGTGGATATCCTGTCCTGCCAATTGCAGAGGTATCATTAAGCTCCAAAAGGGGATTCAGGTGCTCTCTGAAGTGCTCTGTGTACATGCAGTGGTTCATGCATGGAGCCCCTTTTGATGCATTCTTTATATGCAGTTAGTAGGAAATCATTGGTAGGCTTCATGACCATGCAACTCCTCTCAATCTTTTTTTTTCCCGATGCAGCAAAGGGTTTTCTAAACCCCTTTCCTCAATATTAAACTAAAATTCTGAGTTTGCATTTCTTATCTCCATTTCCAACTTGATACACTCACACCCTCTTCTTCAAGTTGAACTTTAATGACATCAGATTGATTCTTGTGTTTATTCTGATTATCATTCCATAGTAGCATCAATGTGGCATGTTCTGGATAAGTTCCTCAGAGAACTGTTTCTAAGTAGCAACTCAGAACAATTGTGCAAGATCACTGTGGGCAAGGTCTGTTCTGAAATACACAGAAAGGCACCCATCTGAAAACTTGTATTGTACCTATAATTCATCTAAAGCAGGGGTCCGCAAACTATGGCCAGAGGGCCGGATACGACCCTCCAAGGTCATTTACCCAGCCCTCGCTCAGGGTCAACCTAAGTCTGAAATGACATGAAAGCAAACAACAATCCTATCTCATCAGCCAAAAGCAGGCCCACACTTCCCACTGAAATACGAATAAGGTTAGATGTGTTAAAATTGTTCTTCATTTTAATTATTGTATTGTTTTAGTGTTTTTGCACTACAAATAAGATATGTGCAGTGTGCATAGGAATTCATTCATTTTTTTTCCAAATTATAATCTGGCCCTCCAACAGTTTTAGGGACTGTGACCTGGCCCTCTGTTTAAAAAGTTTGAGGACCCCTGATTTAAAGCCTTCATACGTACAAAAAGACCTTGTTATGCTGAAAACCACCTGAGTATGCTGGAAACCACCCCGAGTCCCTTCAGGGAGATAGGGCGGTCTACAAATAAAGTTTTATGATGGTCAAGGAAAAAAATCTAGTTAAGAGCTGATGAAGAGATATAATTATGATGTAATTATGTAATTAAAAGAGATGTAATTATGATATCAGAAGGCTCTATGAAAAGAAGCCATTCTGTCTTCTAAACTTTCCTTGTCCATTGTTTTACCCATAAGAACAGTCGTTTCACTTGTGGCAAACAAGTCAGTTAGTTAAATGAAAGCACTGTCCATTTGGTGCAGATGCATATGTATCTATAAATATATACTTATAATGTCTTACCATCAAAATACTGATTTAAACGGCAAAAGAAAATTAAGCCAATTGTTTCTTCCATACAGACACTGCACAGCCCAAATACCTAAACAACATCAAGTTTTACCAGATGGAATCATCATAAGAAATTGTACAGGCTTTTGCTTGTTTTCTTACCTTCCTTATTCAATGGTTTTCTCACAACATACTGACGAACATCATCTTCTTTAGAGAGATTAAACAGCTTTCGGATTTTGCTAGCCCTCTTAGGCCCAAGTCGACGAGGCACAGTGGTGTCAGTCAGTCCAGGAATATCTTTTTCACCTTGACAAGTTGCCAGACAAAGCCAGTATTATGCTTAGCAAGAACCACATTTGAAATTCAAAGCCCATTACATTTGCAATTCAAACCTATCACATTTTATGTATTATAAAACCAAGCATCTTAAGAAAAGGCAAACTGAAACTTGAGCCACTTAGTTTCTTCATTATGCTTATTATCTTCAAGTCTGTTATACAGACAATAATATGGCTAGAATTTCCTACAACCTACTTTCTCTCTTTCAGTTCTGTGGCAACAAGTACAATAATTTCCATTCAGAAGGGCCCGTCAATGAAAGTTTAATTACATTCATCTGTAGCCATGTTGCTCCTGAGATTAGTGGTTTTCAGCCTTTTGTTGTGTAGGTTATTTGGGTGTTCACTCCAAAACACTCCTGTAAGGCTGTGGCGGCCCCTTGAATTCCTCCTTTATTTTAGGGCAACTGCATCTTTTTGTACACCAGGCACACATTTAGTGTAGATTGCCTAGTAAACTCATTATCTTCCCTACACTGTGTTTACCATCTCTTGAAGCTAATAACTTTTTAGTCATGGTAACCTGAATGATGACTAAATGTCCAAATACCACAGCACAGGTATTATTTGTTCCCACTAATATCAGCAAAAAAGTTGCTATCTAGTTATTAAAGGCAGTTTCATGAGATGTCCTGTTGGATACAGTATCTGAAGACAGTATATGAAACCATGGATTAAACTACTGAGAGATGTTGTTGGCCATAACCTGAGGCAAGTAGATAATATGCAGTGCAACAGCCAAGACCCTGCAAACCTTGGGGGTAAATGAAGTTATCTTTGTTTTGAATCTATTTCCTTACAATCTCTTGTTAGCAAGTTTGTAAGAACAAATTGCCCACCAAGCAGTACCAATGACTAATTCAAAACACATGATGCAAATGTATCTTCTGAGCACATTTCACAACTGTCCTTACAAACTGTTAACTATTCAGTATACCAAATCATCACTTAGAAACAGGGTGAAGAGCACACAACTGGACATAGTGTGATTGTGCCAAAGACAACTAGGTCTTCTCATATTTTAATACATTAACATGTATATCCAAGCAAGGTGCAATTTAACAGCCGTACTCCCTTTGCTTCCTTGACAACTATAACAAAATCAGATATTATTTATTTATTTATTTATTTATAGATACCCATTTCTTTCTTTCCAACTTTCTTTTACTCATACTATTGTATAAAATACTACTCCGTTTGATATAGACACAATGGACAAACCAGATCCAATAAAGATTGTAAACTCAGTGTCTCCACTTGGAATGACACGAATGATTTCAAGATGTGTTTGTGACTCCTAACAGATTTATCCAGACTATATTGCTACTTCATATAGGAAAACTCACCTTTCTTGATAATCACAAGATTCAAGACACTTAAGTTAGCATCAACAATGCAGCCCCGGACGGATTTGCGTTTTCGTTCTCCAGTTCTCCTGGGGCGATAGCATGAGTGGCCCTTACTGAGCAGCAGGCGGACACGTCCATGACTCAGGACTCCTTGCTTCATGGGGAAGCCTTGCTTGTCATTGCCACCACTGATGCGGACAACGTATCCCTGGAACAACAAGGAGCACAGACTTCACAGTCAAGAAGACTTATAATTATAACTGCATCTGCCCTATCCACAGATCATCTATTTTCTAAATATTCTTCAGGTTACATTGGTAGAAGCCATCTTACTCTTATTTAATTTGTTCGTGAAAGAACTAAAAGACCCTTGGGCGTCATTCCAAAAAAGTTCTAACCTGATCCAACAGTGTAATAACATTAGTTTGTACTATTCCAATGACTGGAAATATTGGCAAGTGTGTTGTGTATTCAGAGACATGCTTAGCTATGAGAAAGCTAATTTAGGCCCCTTTTACATTGCCATATAAAATCCAGATTATCTGCTTTGAACTGGATTATATGGCAGTGTGGACTCAGATAATCCAGTTCAAAGCAGATGTCTATTATTTACTCTGATAATCTTGATTATATGGCAGTGTAGAAAGGTCCTTAGATTACCTCCATGAAGAGTCATTCTCAAAATTTCTCCAGAAAACCTCACTAGTTCCTATTCATCCCATTTACTTAGCTGGGATTTCATTTTGAGGTTGAGCATCCCTTATCCTGAATTCTAAAATACTCAAAAATCCAAAATTGTTCACACAGCTAGCTGATTGTAACAGCTTTGCATTCTGATGGTTCAATGTGTACAGACTTTGTTTCATACACAAAATTATTAAGAGTGCTGCGTATAAAAATATCTTCAGGCTATATGTATACGGTGCATATGAAGCATAAATTCATCTTGCGTTTGACTTTCTAATGTATCTTATTATGTACACATGTGTAAGTATTGCCCTACATGTTTTGGGTCCATGTTACCTACAGGATCACCTTCTCCCGTACAATATGCCCCAGACACGTAGGTCCTCTGGCACCCGTCACCCAAAGGACCTTTTCATTGGCCAGCCACCCCAAGACAGATAAATGAGCTCTCAGAATGTTAAACCATCTAAAAACTTATCTCTTCGGCAGTCCTACCCAGCAAGTCTTAATCACAAATTTTAAACTTGTGCCTTATGTTTAATTGTTCTGTGTATTTTAATATGCATTTTGTATAATGTTTTCAGATGATTGTGTGTGTTTTAGCAATGTAACCCATCTTGACCCACAAGAGGCAGGTAAGAAATAAAGTAACATTATTATTATTATTATTATTATTATTATTATTATTATTCCATTTTTTTTAAAAAACGTAAAAACCCCAAAAATGTTTTGTAGTTTCCAACATTTTAGATATTATTTGATTTAACATGGTCAAGTACTAAATGCTGTAGACAGGATCCAGACAAAGCTATACACAGCCCATATTAAACATACACTTAGTAAAATAAAATGCCATTCTGCACAGGAAAAAAGCTTTATAAAAAAAAAACACACACACACACACACACACACACAAAATGCTTTCTACATTGAATCTATCTTTACAAAATCTCCACAGGTTACATATGCACAATGTGCCCAGGACTGACACCACATTTCTCACCGACATGTTTCTTTCCTGGAAACTTGCCATAGACGAAACAGCCAACAGGTTACGGGCCTGAAGCAACCCATCACTTTGAGCAGCATTGCTCCAGAACACAACTAACATGATCTGTTGTCAATATACCAGAGGAATACTCAGTATGTTTAACGCTCTGAGAATTTCTTCAATCAAGTTTTAAAAACACTACCACCATGTCATGGAGTGTGTATTATTGCTGTTTTAGCTTGTTTCATTTAAGCAGAAAGTTGGTTTTTTACATGCTTACTACAAATCAATTCTATTAGTACTAAACTGCTAGTCATAACATAAAAAGACAAGCATTCCCCTCTGTAAGTAGATTCTCAATTTTTCACAAGCCGCTTCAGTTATTATTGTTGAGCAAAAGCTAGTTTTTTCAAAACGTCACAAGTGTAGTCAAGACTCCACAAATCACTTTTGTTGCAGTTTTCACCTTCCTTTCATCCACCTACCTTTCCCAAGTGCTGGGACCAAATCAGGAGCATACATATGGCCTGGCAGGTTTTTGCATACAAGTTATTTGCCAAAAGACTGATGTTTCACAGAAAGATAACCTATTGTTATACATTTCTCTTGCCTCTCCTCCAGTGAAATGAAGGGAGCATATATGTTTCCCACTTTATATTCAACAACTGAGAAAAGTAAAAGTAGCTGAGATTGGCTCCAAACAGCTCAACATCTGCATGGTTTTGTTAGTACTAGCTAGATATTAAATTCCAGTCCATTACTCAAAACAATAGAGGGCTATAAGAGGACAGGAAGTATATGTTGGTCTTTTGAAAGAGTATCAGAATGCTAACATATCAATGAATACAAAAACCTAACCCTAAACCCTTTTTGGGGGGGGGGGGGGGAGAGATGCAATAGTAAAGTACAACTCCTCCATGCACACTTCTGAGAGTGCCTTGGACTGCGAGAAGATCCAACCAGTCCATCCTCCAGGAAATAAAACCCGACTGCTCACGAAGGAAGGATAGTAGAGGCAAAGATGAAGTACTTTGGCCACATCATGAGGAGACAGGAAAGCTTAGAGAAGACAATGATGCTGGGAAATGGAAGGAAAAAGGAAGAGGGGCCGACCAAGGGCAAGATGGATGGATGGCATCCTTGAAGTGACTGGACTTGACCTTGAAGGAGCTGGGGGTGGTGACGGCTGACAGGGAGCTCTGGCGTGGGCTGGTCCATGAGGTCACGAAGAGTCGGAGACGACTGAACGAATGAACAACAACAAACAAACTTACTAACTTGTTGGGGGGGGGGGGGAGAGATGCAATAGTAAAGTACAACTCCTCCATGCACATGATCCCAGGTGCACCAAAGCAAAACTGGGAAAGAATTCTGCCTAAACTCTGCAAAACCCTTCCTAGCATGCAATTTAGAAGTACTCTAAAGCCATCTATTCAATCATCCAGAATTTGAAATCCATCCCATTTATTACACCACTGTATATATAATGAGACTTTGAATATCCATGGATTTTGGTATCCACAAATGTCCAGGAACCAAACCATGAGTTAGATGGCTCCATTATACTTGCTCCTGTCCACTCTTTACTATTCAGCATGCATCTACGCAAGTGGTTCCCAACCTTTTGTCCTCTAGTTGTTTTGGACTTCAACTCCCAGAAATCCCAAACTTCTTACCAGCTGTTAGGAATTGTGGAAGCTGAAGTCCAAAACATCTGGAGGGCCAAAGATTGTGAACCACTAATCTACACTTCAAGATGGGTACAGTCTGACACCTCCTTAACTGCCACAAATCCATGTTATGGAATCGTAGGATGTGTAGCATGATTAGGCCTTGAACACTTTATAAAACTGCAACTTTCACAGTTCCATAGCACTTAGCCAGGGCAGTTCAAGTAGTGTCAAACTGCATTAATCCTACGGTGTAGAAGATGCACCCAAAAGCTCCCTCAAGTCGACCCTTCGTCCAAATAGGAATTTGGATGAAAGGAAATTCACAAGCACTGGGGCGTTTTAAATCCAAGAAGCAGCCGCCTTACCTTCCACTCCTCGCCCAGAGCATCTGCGGAGACCTCCGCTGTCATCCGCTTCTCATAGAAAGTGCGGAGTTTACGCTCATCATCCACTTCGATGAGTTTCTGACAGCCAGTGGCTGGGAAAGAGATGTTCAGCTACAAGGAAGAAAAAAGGACAAGGAGGACTTAGCCCAGTGGTTCTCAACCTTCCTCATGCTGTGAGTCCTTAATACAGTTCCTCATGTTGTAGTGACCCCCAACCATAAAACTATTTTCACTGCTACTTCATAACTGTAATTTTGCTACTGCTATGAATCGTAATGTAAACATTTGACATGCAGGCTCTATTTTCATTAACTGGACCAAATTTGGCACAAATACAAACTTTATATACTCAGAGAGGTTTCCAAGTAACATCATCAATACATATGAGTAAATAACATAAACATAAAATTAACAAAGCAATATAAGCATTTAAAAAATCACAATAGCACATATATAAAAATAATCCTGCCTGTTCAAGGCAGTTTAAAAAGGCCAGGCCGAGGCTAGTGCAATTTCTAGAGGGCCTGGGAAATTAGGAGCAATGCTATAGCAGACAACAACAATAATATGTATAGTCTATGGTTGTTCATTTCTGGGGCTTAATAGGAGGAAGTGACCTGGATAAGTGGTAGAAAAAGATATGACCTTATCTTGAAATAACGGTTCAGGCCCAGCCTATCTTCGCAATCGCATCTCCATCTATGAACAGGCATGAACTTTAAGATCCTCCAGGGAGGCCCTCCTCTTGCTCCCACCTGTCACAAGCACGGCTGGTGGGGATGAGAGAGGGCCTTCTCGGTGGTAGCCCCCTGCCTCTGGAACGCTCTTCTAAGGAAAATAAGACAGGCCCCATCCCTCCCCTCTTTTTGTAAGTTTGAAGACTTGGTGGTTTCAACAAATCTTTGAGAGTGACCAGTGCTGTCCGTACATGACCTAGCCTCCTATATATTACCCTGGAAATAGCCCGTCCTCGCTTTTGCCGTTTACCTATTATAGTACTGTACCCAAATGCCAACCCCATCTTATTTCAATTTGTATCAGTCTTGACCCAGCCTTTTTAATTTTCCTGACCCATTCCTCTTTATGCCCTAACAAATAGACATGAAGAGCAAGCAGTGTGTGTGTGTGTGTATATATATATATATTTGATGTGTTGCTGGGTAATTCCATGCTTATGTTGCTGTTACTGTTATTTTTTGTTCATGTTGTGACTCTGTATGTTTTGATGTTGTTGCTTGGAAATCGCCCTGAGTCCCCCCAGGGAGATAAAGCAGTATATATAAAAAAGTTGTTTATTATTATTATTTGGAGCTGAGCTACAACTAGTCATTCTAAAAGGCTTGTTTAAACCCGGGTTTACGAAAGGAGGGAGGGATAGGGCCTGTCTTATTTCTCTAGAGTGTTCCAGAGGCTGGGAACCACCACCGAGAAGGCCTTCTCTCTCATCCCCATCAACCGTGCTTGTGATGGTGGTGGGAGCAAGAGGAGGGCTCCCCCACAAGATCTTAAAATTCGTGCCGGTTCATAGAGGGAGATGCGATTGTGAAGATAGGTCCAAATTTGGTGGGGTTGGGGAAAATAGACCTTGTCATTGGGGAGCATTCTGAACCCCACCGAAGATAGAATTGGGCCAAACTTCCCACATAGAACCTTCCATGATGAACAGAAAATGTCTTTTGTCATGGCGCTTGGTGACCCCCCTGACACCCCTTCGCGACCCCCAGGTTGAAAAACGCCGACTTTGCCTGCCTCTAACACTATCAATGAGGCCTGGTAGCGACCTGAGTAACCAAGAGCGTGTCTACAGGTATAGGCAAACTTTGGCCTTCCTTGTGTTTTGGACTTCAACTCCCACAATTCCTAACAGCCTCAGGCCCTTTCCTTTTCCCTCTCAGCTGCTTAAGCGGCGGAAAAGGAAAGGGGCCTGAGGCTATTAGGAATTGTGGGAGTTGAAGTCCAAAACACAAGGAGGACCGAAGTTTGCCCATGCCTGCTGTAGAATGAATGCAGTTGGATACCACTTAAACTGCCATGGCTCAATGCTATGGAATTATAATTTGCAGAGCCACCAGGTATCTGTTGCAGAGATGGCTAAAGACCCTGCAAAACTTCCATTATTTCTCTGTATTGAGCCAATGGCAGATAAAAGTCAAACTGCATGTATTCTACAGTGTAGATGCACCTATGTCATTGGCAGGAGAATGCAATCAAATTGGGGGGGGGGGAGGGGGCTCCCATTCCAGGCCATTGAAGGCGGGCCTTCTTCCCTGCCCTGGCCGCCCGGCTCCCGAATCCGCTTCCATCCGCTCCCGGGGTGATGTTTTCTCGGCCAAATTCTCCCTCGCCGCCTCCAGAACGAAGCCTCCTACCCGGATACGTTATTATTTCCAGGCCCCGAGAGAAGCCGGCCCTGAACCAGCTGCCATTTCTCACCTTCATGGCAGCGACGCGCCCGCTCGCCTCGGATCCGCCACGGGAAAGAGGCCGCACTTCCGCCCAGCCGGAAGTCAGAGAAGATCCACAAACTCTCGCGAGAATGGAGGAGGGGCGCGCGCTCTACTGTCTAATCTATTAGTCCCTTCAGTTCCTGGAGAAAAACATAGAGCCAGGAAAAGCTTAGAATGACGACTGTCATCTTTGAAACCGAACTCTCCTATTTATTTTAAGATTCTGAACTCACTATGCTGTTATTATTTCATGGGAACCGCCTTTGCCATTCTGAAATCTGCAGTTTGGGGAGAAATATTGGAATTCTTAGCCAGGGAGCTCTTGGGGCCTCACTGAACTACAGAGAAGGTTGCAATGACAGTTAAAGTGGTGTTCATAGAATCATAAATCATAGATTCATAGAGTTAGACGACACCTCGTGGGCCATCCAGTCCAACTCCCTGCCAAGAAGCAGGAAAATCGCATTCAAAGCACCCCAGACAGATGGCCATCCAGCCTCGGTTTAAAAGCCTCCAAAGAAGGAGCCTCCACCACACTCCAGGACAGAGAGTTCCACTGCTGAACAGCTCTCACAGTCAGGAAGTTCTTCCTAATGTTCAGATGGAGTCTCCTTCCTTGGAATTTGTTCCGCATCCTAGTCTCCAGGGCAGAAGAAAACAAGCTTGCTCCCTTCTCCCTATGTCTTCCTCTCACATATTTATACATGGCTATCATGTCTCCTCTCAGCCTTCTCTTCTTCAGGCTAAACATGCCCAGCTCTTTAAGCCGCTCCTCATAGGGCTTGTTCTCCAGACCCTTGATCATTTTCGTTGCCCTAAAATGCAGGATGTGTTGTGCATCTACATCCTGCAAATCTCTTGGGAAGACAGGGGGACAAATGTCAGTGTGCTGGAAGAAGGAAATACCACCAGCATTGAAGTGATGGTCCTCCACCATCAACTTCGCTGGATCAGCCACGTTGTCCAAATGCCCGACCACCGTCTCCCAAAGCAGTTCTACTCCGAACTCAAGAACAGAAAATTTAATGTTGGTGGGTTGGAAAAAAGATTTAAAGATGGGCTGGAAAACCCTGGCCCTTCAGCGCTCCAGCTGGAGATCAGCTGTGACCAGCAGTGCTGTAGAATTTGAAGAGGCACGAATAGAGGGCAAAAGAGAGAAATGTGCCAAGAGGAAGGCGCATCAAGCCAACCCCAACCAGGACCGTCTTCCACCTGGAAACCGATGCCCTCACTGTGGGAGAAGATGCAATTCAATAATAGGGCTCAACAGTCATCTATGGATCCACTGCCAGGACACCGACCTTGGGGGACAGTCTTACTCGGACAACAAGGGATCGCTTAAGTGTGTATCTACACTTGGAGTTGTAGCTTGGTGAGGCACCAGCACTCTTGGGTAGAGAAGGCGAAAGGCCTTGCAAAACTACAACTCCCAGGATTCCATAGCATCGAGCCATGACAGTTAAAGTGGTGTCAAACTGCATTAATTGCACAATCTAGACAAGCTCCTGATATTATGAACAGTGTACTGTGATGGGGTTCAGACAATTTCTCTCTCCCTTACCCTCTTTCCCTAATGGGAGAACTGTGAAAGTTGTCTATAGAAAAAATTGTAATTATGGCATAATTCAGACTGACCACTGTAAGGATTTATTTCCTGTCAAAAAATTATAATAATGTGCCATGTGAGGAAAGTTGGCAGAGAAGAGGATATATATAAATATCCACATATGCACACATACACACTGTATATATAAATATTGTCTCAAATTGCTGCTCTGAAGCATATCCAAGTACAGGCAGTTCCCAGGTTAGGTTCTGTAGGTTTGCTCTTTTTTTAAATTGCTCTGTCAGAACAAGTGCATTTTAAATGTAACTCCAACCATATATAATTGTGTTGTCGAAGGTTTTCATGACTAGAATCACTGGGTTGCTGTAAGATTTTTGGGCTGTATAGCCAAGTTCTAGGACTATGTGATGTATTGGTGAATAATGCGGCAGATCCAAGTAGGGTGGCCTTTTGCAGCTGTCAGATGGTAATTTTGTAAATGTCAATTGTTTTTAAATGAAGGCCAAGAGCTTTAGTCACTGCACCCGGTGTGCCGATCACCACTGAGACCATCTTTACTGGGTGCTGCTGCTGCTGCTGCTACTGCAGCTTCTTCTTCTTCTTCATCATCATCATCATCATCTTATGCTACTGATAAATTGTATCCAATCAATGCTGACCAACGGTTCCTTGTTATCCTGGAGGTAAATGGCAAACAGAGCCTCTTTACTATTCAGTGTGGTCAAGAAAAAACAATGAAATTCTGGTGGTTGCTATACAACTCGAAGGTGCATTGGTCCCTTCCAGGGCCCTTCCAGACAGGCCATATATCCCAGGATCTGATCCCAGATTTTCTGCTTTAACCTGAATTGTATGGGTTCACACTGCCAGATAATCTGAACTAAACAGAAAATCTGGGATCAGATCCTGAGATTTAGGGCTCTTCCACCCAGCCATACAACCCAGAATATCAAAGCAGAAAATCCCACAATATATACTTTGAACTGGATTATATGTCAGTGTGGACTCAGATAACCCAGTTCAAAGCAGATATTGTGGGATGTCCTGCCTTGATATTCTGGGTTATATGGCTGTGTGGAAGGGCCCTGAGGGCCTGTCCAGAAGGGCCCATTCTCACATGCTAAGAGGAGCAAGTTTCCATCTGCTCTCTTCCATTTAGTTAATGGCACACAACTTAATTTTACACTTTAGCCTCTGTTATGCAGCAAAGGAAGTAAACTGAGGGCAGAGGAAGAAAATTAAAGGAGAGGAAAAACTGAAACTGCCCCATCCCGCAGTCAACAAATTTTGAATGCGTCCACCTGAGGGTGGGTGACCGGGACAGATTAGGGATTCTGTTAGTGTACCGTCCACCTCGCTGCACTACAGTCTCCCTGCCTGAGCTAGCGGGGGTGGTCTCGGACCTGGCATTGGAGTCCCAACGGCTACTTGTGCTGGGGGACTTCAATGTCCACGCCGAGGCCGCCTTATCGGGAGCGGCTCAGGACTTCATGTCTGCCATGGCAACCATGGGGCTGTCCCAACAGGTATCTGGCCCCACCCACAGTGCTGGACACACATTGGACTTGGTTTTCTGCCAGGGATGGGAGGAAGGTGGTGGTGTTGAGGAGTTATCCATCTCTCCGTTGCCATGGACCGACCACCACCTGGTCAGCTTTAGACTCACTGCACCCCCTAACCTCCGCAGAGGTGGAGGACCCATTAAGTTGGTCCGCCCCAGGAGGCTTATGGATCCGGATGGATTCCTGACGGCTCTTGGGGAATTTCCCGCCACCTCGGTTGGTGATCCTGTCGATGCCCTGGTCGCTCTCTGGAATGGGGAGATGGCTAGGGCAATAGACACGATCGCTCCAGAACGTCCCCTCTCAAGTAGCCGAGCTAAACCAGCTCCTTGGTTCGAGGAGCTGGCAGCGTTGAAGCGAAAGAAGAGGGAACTAGAGAGCGTGTGGCGTTCGGATCCGAGGGAGCCAAATCGAACACTGTTTGTGTCCTTTTTAAGGGCATATGCCGCGGCAATAAAAGCCGCAAAGAAGGCTTTCTTTGCGGCCACTATTGCGTCTGCAAAGAACCGTCCGGCTGAACTGTTCCGAGTTGTCAGAGGCCTGTTAAAACCCACCATGCAGGATGGGTGCCCTGATGACTCGGCAGCTCGCTGTGAAGCCTTTGCTCAGTTCTTTGCAGACAAAGTCGCTTTGATCCGCTCTGGTCTGGATACCATATTAACGGCAGTCTCTGAGGATGTAACACGAGCATCTGCTTGTCCGGTTTTGATGGATTCATTTCAATTGGTTCAATCCGAGGATGTGGACAAGGTGCTTGGAGGAATGAGAGCTACCACATGCATCCTAGACCCCTGCCCATCCTGGCTTCTGAAGGAGGCCAGAGGGGGATTGGCCGAGTGGGTGAAGGTGGTGGTTAATGCCTCCCTTCGGGAAGGCAAAATTCCAGCCAGCTTAAAGCAAGCTGTGATAAAACCGCTGTTGAAAAAACCATCACTGGACCCCACTCAATTCGTCAACTATCGGCCTGTTTCCAATCTCCCCTTTTTGGGCAAAGTCCTGGAACGTGTGGTGGCCTCACAACTCCAGGTATTCTTGGTAGACACAGATTATCTGGATCCGGCACAGTCTGGCTTTAGGCCGGGACATGGTACCGAGACAGCCTTGGTCGCCTTAGTGGATGATCTGCGCCGGGAGCTCAACAGGGGGAGTGTGTCCCTGTTGGTGCTGCTGGACCTCTCAGCGGCCTTCGATACCGTCGACCACGGTATCCTTCTGGGACGCCTCGCGGGAATGGGTCTTGGAGGAACTGTTTTACAGTGGCTCCGCTCATTCCTCGAGGGTCGGTCTCAGAAGGTGTTACTGGGAGACTCCTGTTCAACCCCACAACCTTTGTCTTGTGGGGTTCCTCAGGGTTCAATATTGTCTCCCATGTTGTTTAACATCTACATGAAGCCGCTGGGTGAGATCATCCGGAGTTTCGGAGTGCGATGTCATCTGTACGCGGATGATGTCCAACTCTGTCACTCCTTTCCACCTGCTACTAAGGAGGCTGTCGAGGTCCTGAACCGGTGCTTGGCCGCTGTGACGGTCTGGATGGGGGCGAACAAATTGAATTGAATCCAGACAAGACAGAGGTACTCCTGGTTAGTCGCAAGGCCGAACAGGGTATAGGGTTACAGCCTGTGTTGGACGGGGTCGCACTCCCCCTGAAGACGCAGGTTCGCAGTTTGGGTGTGATCCTGGACTCATCGCTGAGCCTGGAACCCCAGGTTTCGGCGGTGACCAGGGGAGCATTCGCACAGTTAAAACTCGTGCGCCAACTGCGCCCGTACCTTGGGAAGTCTGACTTGGCCACGGTAGTCCACGCTCTGGTTACATCCCGTTTAGACTACTGCAACGCTCTCTACGTGGGGTTGCCTTTGAAGACGGCTCGGAAGCTCCAATTAGTCCAACGGTCGGCAGCCATGTTACTAACAGGAGCGGAGCGCAGGGAGCATACAACTCCTCTGCTGCACCAGCTCCAC